TATATGGGCTTGGTGCACCGTCGTTGGTCATAAAAAGTCTAGTCGAAATTTTCAGCAATATCAAAATAACACTTCTGCGTAAATATTAGCTGTTGTTTGAAAGCACACTGATCAGTAGTGAATATTCGCTAGGCCGCTACAATCACTGATAAGGATGGCATCAATTAGACTTAATGAGTCGCAAATATTAACTTTTTTAGAAAAGTATTAGAAAAATAAATAAAGACGTTTGACAATGACGTATTTGTAGTTAAAAATTATTTCCTATTTAGTGTAAATGGGTATTAAAATGACTAAAAGGCAGCATTCTGCCCGAAGCAGTAACGTCTTATGTAAACAATGCACGCACCATTCAGCCAATGATTGACGCCGCGTGCTGTGACGGCACGTGTTAAAGGCAATCATCTTTTCCACAGATATTAGAGAAGACTCGTAATTCACTATGAAACAGATTGGTTTGAAAGGTGCGTTGATCCCTTTGTAAATTGTAAAATTGTGTTTATGTATGCCTAATGCGGCCATTTTAAGGGACTATCCCGATTTGAACAGAGTCTCAAAAATAAATGTCCGGGTACGTATGAAATTTAATCGCCAAAATATAGAGGAGTGGTGTATTTACCTAGTCTCAAAATTTCAGATCAAAATATTGAGTAGTTTGGACGCGAACCTCAAAACTGCTTATCCGGACACGTAACCCTTTTAAGATTTCGGGTAAATCTTTTCGTTGGGTGACCTGATAATCGATTTCCATTCCTGTAGAGATCTATACAGTGACTGATCCTCGTGCTGTACATGATAACGAAAGGTAAATTTGACCGATACATTATTTTTATAAAATAAAAGTCTGGTTTTATCGAGACACAGTATAATACAGCTTGGGGCACCGGTCTCCATTTCCAGATCTAAGAAGACTGACAGGTTTAAGTTGTTTGAAAACATATAACGTATATTGAGTTAGTTGCTCGGACCTAAGGTAGAAGATTTTAATGGATTTTAACACAAAATTAAGCAGTTTTATTCTCCAAAATATTATCGGTCAACACTTTTAAAGCGCCTAAACACACAAATTCTAAAGTTTCTAATGCGTTACTGGTTTCAGGATATTTCACTAAATATATTTTTCACAAGGGATTTCGGAACAGAAATGCTTTGACGGTTTCCCTGAATTTTGAAAGTCTTAATTCTAAACATAGTCGATTCCATGATATGGTGCAGCTCTACAATATGTTTCAATAAAAGTTATGTCCTTATTTCCGCGCTCCCTTTATAAGTGAAAGAAAATTAGATTAAATAGGCCCCTATATACATTTCTGTACATTCTAGCGCTATTAAAGTCCCCATACGTAGGCCATTAACCTTTTAAGGGGTTTGGAGAGAGAGAGAGAGGGGTGGGCTTTAATGTCCACTCGACACAAACATAGGTCATCTCGAAACTTACATACGGTTCAAGTTTATTTCAATAATTCGCTTGCGCGTAGGGGTCTTTTGCAGTGGTAGGAAACCGGAGTACCCGGAGAAAACCCACAAGGTTGGACAGGCGACCCAACTCCTTGTCACGTACGACCGGGGAATCTAAACCACACCAGTTGACTCAATGACAGACTTTATGATACAGCACGCACGTGCTAACCATTCAGCACCCCCCCCCCCCCCCCACGAGGTTGGTCAGGCGACCCAACACCTTGTTACGTACAACCGGGGAAATGAAACCACGACGAAGGGGTTTGGGCCAACTTTTGTAAATTGCTTTAAAGGGTTTAACATCCTACTGTTCTGCTCCTATACTGGGCTAATGAAGACGGGCATAAGCCATACAGTGTGCTATGAGGGAAATTTTGCCCGGGCAGCGGCACTATCGCCTACTCTTATATCGAATTCCAACTGCCAAGGGATCTTTTACGTGCATTCCAATGTATACACGGGACCTCGGTTTTTAGTCTCATCCGAAGGACTAGACAGCTGTCCTTGTCAGGCCCTCCGTTCTGCACCACAAGGGGAAACCACGTCAGAAAATCCAGGTGAACTTTCTCGGCCAATGCAGGGATCGAACACCCGACCTCCAGGCTAGCGAGCCAGCGTCTTAACCACCTAGCCACCGTGGCTCCCTCTGAAAAACAAAACACTAACGCTAGATAAACTCCCGGCTTGGATTCAATAGGATTTAAAACAGGTCCATGAATTTGGTTCACAGCATAAAGGGTGGCGACCGTCTTGTTACAGATACTTGATGTAAGATTTAGATAAAGAGCTAGCCATTCTTACTATAATAGTTCGAAAATAGATAATGTATAATGAATGATTTGAAAATTTCATTCAAATTACTCTATTGCAAGCGAAGATATTAGCCATTGAAGGTTTGACAAGACGTGTGCGATAATTTCAATCACCGTACTGGTTATTCGAAGCTAAGTCTCGCTCCTCCATTTTTAGCTTAAATCAAAATATGACTGAACTGTTCTAATCTATTTAATATCAGAGAAATCCGATGCCATCGAGAGTTGATTATGGCCCGGATTAGTTAATTAATGTCTAATTAATAATTTAAATAACATTTAAGGCCTAAAGACAGACCTTCAATAGACAGATTTAGCTCTTGTATAATGTATGTTTAAACAGGGAACAGCATAGTTTGATATAATTTTCAGTTCATCATATCTTTATAAATACTGGACGGTATAAATGAATTGAACCATTTGTGGAATGATATTCCTATTAGAGATTCAACTTTCACAAGAGAGTAAAATGTCGGCACGTCTGTCCGCCAGTCCGTTTGTTCCTAATTTTGTAACGCTCGTGTACCAGGATTCCTTTAGATTTGTTTCCAGATTATACCTTTTGATTTCATCGCCTACAAGTCAGAAGAGGGACATGATAGGAACTTGATGTCATGTAGATTTTCTTTATTCAGTCATTGCTCCTGTTATTGAAAAGAGGGAGAACACAAACTAGGTCATTTCGGGACTAACATATGGTTCAAATTTATTTCAATAATTCGCTTGCACGTAGACCTTATGATACAACGAGCACGTCCTATTATAACCATTCGGCCATCCACCTCCAACACCTCCTGTTATTGAAAACATTGGGAATAATCTACCATGATTTTGTGTTGTTTTGGGATTGTACCTGTTGGTCATAAGGGGGAACTACAGGGCCGTAACTAGCTCAGAGCAACGAGGGAGAGGGGGGGGGGCCGCGGGTGGGGGCTGGAATGTTCTCACGTATTGCCCCTGTGACAGAAACTTTACGAATACTTCACTGTGACAATTGTTAAAGATGTATTAGATATAGAGCTGGTCGTTCTTGCTATAATAATTCAAAAATAGGGAATGCAAAATGAATATATTGAACATTCCATTCAAATTACTTTATTCTGTGTAAAGTTATCACCGTTTGAAATGTGGCATACATTGTTTGTTATCGTACCAACGGTACTTGTTATTCGAAACTAAGCCTCGCTTCGCCATTTTTAAAGTAAATCATTAAATGGCGACCGTATATTTTAATCCGTTTAAATCTCCGCCATCCGATGGTCTAGAGAGTTGACTATCGTATATTTTAATCCGTTTAAATCTCCGCCACCCGATGATCTAGAGAGTTGATTATCGTATATTTTAATCCGTTTAAATCTCCGCCATCCGATGGTCTAGAGAGTTGACTATAGGCTTGTCATGATAATAAATGACTTATGTTTATATAACTTTTGAAGCTAAAATAAAGACAAGCTGCAATAGGCGCAGATTTGGCTCTTTTAATGCATCTTTAACGTTCTGTGGCATTGTATGTGCATCCTCCACCCCACTACTTCAAAGTACCCCCACCCCACCCCCTTCTAAGTACTGATGTTGGGTAATAGGCAATATTCATTATAGCCTGACCATGAGTGACCCACGTTTGCTAATGTCGGTAAGAACTATTGGCGTACGGCACTATTTGATTTATCTAAACCTATAATTAGTGTTAGAGATCGTTGTTTGAGTGACCGCTTTGCCTGGATATTTGTTCCATACCAATTTGGTCAATTTAAATCTCTTGGCCCAACCTCTTAATCCGGTACTGATGTAGGCTATATATTAGTCTCCATGCAATTAGTGTACGAGCGAATAAATCTGGACCCTAAGTATTTACCTAATATATCATGGTGACTCATTTTGGTTACCGGTTTGTGTTGAAACAAATAAATACAATCATTTTTACGCCCTCATCGTCAAAAAGATGCATTTTCTATCGAATATAAAATTTTCTCTGTTCATGACCTCTTTTTCCGTTTTAAGCACATATTTACACCAACAAGGCCTATCACAGTGTGCGAACAGTCCATAAGCATAGGCCCATTAATACCCCAGACAGGGGTCCGTATTGCGACGGTTGAACTGCGTATGCTTTCGTCTAATTGCCTAGTTGGTCGAACCTTCTGTTTTGAATACTTGAACACTGAGCTTAAAAAGTCACGGATTCTACAGGGATTTTTAACAGAGGAAACATATCATTTAATCGACAAGAGACCCATCCCAGGATAGAAGATAATTAGATTGAAACATAGTAGGTATAATAATTTATTTTATTAATATATATCTACTATCTAAAAATCAAACAACATGTAGACAATAGTTGTAACTCGCTAACGTGTAATATATGTATATATAGTGTCACCATTTATGATACAACACACGGTAGTATTCAGGCCTTCGTTATATAGAACGGTGTATTGGCTTTTATACAGCTTCATCTACAGTGTGACTGTGGTAAAAGAAAACACTATCGTTATAGCGCGCATTACCTCCTTCGACACCACCTCACTTCCTCGCGTTTGTTCTCTTTAATGGCTGTATAGATTTAGAGGTTTCTTGTGTTCATTGAAAGAATATAAAATCGACAATAATATAATATATAAAACATAATAGAAGATAACGCCAAAGAATAGAATTTTGCTGTATGAAATTGGGTAAATTTTAAGAATTATAATTGACCTAGTTACGATACATGATCACGTGATTCCACACGTGGCTCTGCAGAGAGTAAAATTTTTACCCAGTCTGCACCGCGCATACACATTTTATTCTCAAGATGGCGGATATGCTGTAAGTTTATTTTAATATAAATACAATGTGCAATATGGCATATTGTATTTAAAATTTATTCTTATTCGATAGATTATTAAATAAACTATTGATATGCCAAATATGGAAGAAAGAGGAAACGCCATTGAAGAGCGGTGACTTGTGAAAGTTTGCGCTATACACACAGTTACAATCTCGTTGGTCGTCTGCGCACATGCATGTATTGGTAACATACGCCGTAAAGTCAAAGACGAGTTTGTGAAATAATTCAGCTGTTGGACACTTTGCTCTCTCGTAAATATTTGGGAAATATTATTTTTAAGAAATTTTCGACACTAGAGTAACAGCATATTCCTTATTAAAATGAATAACAAAAACGTAATTTTATGTGGAAGTTTTTGTGGATGCGGTATCAAAAAACACGGCCACGACGGGGTGTTTCCCGCTCGAAGTATTGTCTCGGTTACATGATTTTGAACGATCGTGTTGTTAGGGAGAGAAGCTGCGGTCTGTTACATTTTGAGAACGGTCAAACAATATTTTATGTTCAGTTTACTCTAGCCTACAGCCATAACTTATTAACAGGTAAATTGTAGGGATTGGTTGAAATAATAATAATAAAACAAGCAATGGGTTTTTAGACTAGTGTCACTAGTGATAGTCAAGGGCAAAGTGTGGTGTCCATTAGGGTCCAGAATAAACTCCTATTCCAGGAAATGTATCATATAGGCCTGTCAAGATTGGCTCAAGGTCATTTGTTTATCATGTTTAGCAATAGGCTAAATAACAAAAACCAAAAAAAAAAACCCCCCTAAGTGTAGCAGGCAAGCTATCAATAATTATAATTCCAGGTATGCTACCAGTAGGCCTATTAATAAAAAGCATAAATTTCGACAAAATATAGACTGCAGTTCATTAGTGTTATTAGATCTTTAACTTCGTTAAATTTATTTCTCAATGGGGCCTGATTAGATTTTCGATATGGTACCAATACTGGTAATAGAAAATTATTCCCAAAATTTCATTTTAATCAGGAATTTTAAGTATTTATTCTGCTTCCGTTTAATGAAATTGAAAAAGTTTATTTAGCCTTTGTGTGTATGACAGATGTGAAAGGCAGTAGAACTGCATTAAAAAACAATACTAATTTTTGGATATTGTGCCATTAGGACAGAGATCTATTTTCGAAGTATGAAGTGAGAGAGAGAGAGAGATGGGGTTTTGTCCACTGGACACAAACTAGGTCATTTTGGGACTAACACATGTTACAATTTCATTTCAATAATTTGCTTGCGCATATAAACTGGTCTTTAGCAGTGGGAGGAAACCGGAGGACCCGGAGAAAACCCATGAGGTTGGACAGGTGATCCTACTCCTTGAAACGTACAACCGGGGATTCGAAACCAGGCCAGTTGACTCAATGGCAGACCTTATGATACAACTAACCATTCGGCCATCCACCCCCCTGAAGTAGATGGATATGGATCTCGGGTGTCAAGTCAATAAAAGTGTAAACCTTAATTGGCCAGTTAGAATTGGTTGATTGGACTAATTTTGGAATCAAATTCCCTTTTTTTTTAAAAATAAAAAGTACTTTTGGTAATGTACCGTGTCAGGGACAGTTGTAGAAATGTGTGTGTGGGGAGGGGGGAGGGAGAGTTACAGGATATGAATACATTGTTGTAACCGGATAAATTAAGATAAAAAAACCACACCTGGAGCAGGGCCCAATTAGGGGAAATTGGTCAGATATTCCATAAACTGGCCCTGTACCCAGTATGGTATTTAACTGTGTATTGATTCTGTCATGTTAATGCTTTATCTAGTAGGCTACTTGTCAGTTTCCTTCAACAGGTGTCACATCAGGAGAATATCTTATGCCGTAAATACAATTACCTGTCCTATATCTGATCTCATCCTTTCTACCTGTATTTACTGATATTACACTAGACCAGCAATGACCATTTCACCTGTAATTGACCTTTAATGACAAAACTAATAATAATACAAAAATCAGAGAGTATGCTAAGATTATCTGATATGATCTCATATCCTGTCTGTAATCTTAATAACCCATATGCACAGGTTTTTTGTGTGCACATTAGAACAATACTAGCAGTAGTAGACTGGATACGTACTAGGACAACAATACTAGCGGTAGTAGACTGGATACATACAAGGACAACAATACTAGCAGTAGCAGACTGGCTACATACCAGGACAACAATACTAGCAATAATAGACTGGCTACATACCAGGAAGTAATATTGCTCCTAAGTGTTTAACTAATAGAAAGGTTTAAAATGAGCATTATGTAAGTCAATATTCCCAAATGTGAAAAACAATAGAAAGGCCTATTTCCTAGTAACAAGAAACGGTAGCAGGATAGACAATTCTAAACATATCATATACAGTATATATATTAGTAATTTGAATAATATACTAGTAACTAAATACACATTCATGTTACTAAACAACCTCTGTTTAAATTCATAGTCCAGGATGTAATTGGAATTCAACAGGTAACAATTAAAAAAAAGAATTGCCTAATGCCTACCCCTTTGAACCTAAAGGTGTCAAGGTTTATAGCTTAAATTGTTCATGCCCTTGGGGGCAAGATAGCACTTGCACCTTTGTTTTATATACCATAACGTACTCTTTAACTTGATTAGGAGAGGAAGATATAATATTTACTATTTATTTATATAAAAGGATATCATCTGTATTACAACATATATATTTGATATTGCACTGTTATATTTTGTCTTGTGCAGAAAAGAAGGATGTTAAACCGCATTTTAAGTCATTTCGTTTATTTTGTCTATGATTTCAAGAAATAGGTTGCGAGCTTATTACATTGATATTTCAAAATTAGGGACTTTGTCGTTTTAATCATACCTGGTTGGAACGTAACCATAAACATATATGTATTGGAAATTAATAGTTTTTTTTAATGGGTAGGTCAGTCGCGATACCTGAAGGTAAACATTGTGGCTACCAGAAAGTAATTTATTGTTTCTTTGAGCAGCAATTGGCAACTGACATACCTAATTGTAAAGAGATGTTTCATTGAGGGTTCTCTGAATGTTATGAAGCAAATTGTTCCTTGATAATGTTGAGAGAACCTTCAATGAAACTATGAATTAATTAAAATAGTGGTGCAGGACGGGAGGGCCTGACAAGGACAGCTGTCTAGTCATTCGGATGGGACGGAAAACCGAAGACCTGTGTATACATTGGTTTGCACGTAAAAGATCCCTTGGTAGTTGGAATTCGATATAACAGTAAGCCATAGTGCTGCGGCCCAGGGAAAAATTTCCTCCATAGCACATTGTATGGCGTATGCCGGTCTTCATTAGCCCAGTCGGGGCAGAACAGTAGGACGTTAAACCCCATTTCATTTTGTGTTCCATATTATGTTATTGTGTTTATTGTTGAAGTTTTGTATATTTTTAGATATTTGTTGAATGATATGGTCTACTAATGAAGCCAAGGATTATAAAATAATGGTATAAGATTCCGATGATATATGTTTGTTTATATTCCCATCAAGTAAGTAAAATAAGAATAATAGTTATCTAATGTTTTTTTACAAATTTTGTGAGTTTACTAGAAATTAAAATCCACCTTGAAATGTCCTTGAATTGCAGCTGTTGCCTTGAAAGGCCTTGAATACAAAATGATTTTGAAAAATTATTAACCATTAAATTTCATTATTCAAACTGTGTTTAGTTGTAAATGTTAAGTCACGATAATTATATAGAAATAGAGGAAGATTTATAGTGTGTTTCCTTGTGTCAAAGATTCAACTCATATTAAAAATATTAGGCTGGTACACAACAAAGTCCTGGTTGTATAATGATATTATGGGAGATTAGATAAGGAGTTGACAGTTCTCGCTATAATAGTTAAATAATAGATAAAGTGAAGAGAATATGCTGAAAATTTCAGTCAAATTGCTCCACTATGAATCAACCTCGTGGGTTTTCTCCGGGTCCTCCGGTTTCCTCCCACTGCTAAAGACCCCTACGCGCATGCGAATTATTGAAATAAAATTAAACCATATGTTAGTCCCGAAATGACCTAGTTTGTGTCGAGTGGACGTTAAACCCCATTTCTCTCTCCCTCTCTCTCTCTCCACTATGGATCAAGCGATTGAATTTTAAACCTATCCTCAATCATCATTACTAAAGTCGGTATGATAACAAAACAAAGTCTCGATTATCCATTTTGACGTTAAATTTTCCATCAAAATGTGTATTCAAATCTAGTAAATATGGCAGGCTAGCGATAGCATTGAGAGTTGATTGTGGTCGGGATAACTTAATTAATGTCTAATTAATAATTTAGATAACATATCAAGGCTAATGGAAGGCAGATTTAGCACTTGTATAATGTGTATTTAATGGAAAGGAGGTCTATTGGCTTCTGCCTGTTCTCCATTCCCTTTACCAATAAATATTGTGAAAAAAAAGTGATGTTTCAGGTCATGAACAGACATTAGGGAGCAGATTGGCCTGTGTTTACCAATTTCAGAACAAATGGACATCCATTTTCACTCATTCTCGGGATATGATACTCTGGTTCAGTTTTCTCCCAATTTCCTTCCACTGCTAAAGACCCCTACGTGCAAGCGAATTATTGAAATAAAATTGAACCATATACTAGTCTCTCTCTCTCTCTTTCTCTCTCTCTCTCTTCTCTCAGAACAATATCAATAAGAATTGTCCAACTTGTATTTTTCAAGGTTTTCTAAATGTAATGGCTAGAACTAAAAAAAAAGAATTACAGAAAGTTAAAGAAGCTGAAGCCAAATGTAATCATAGGCCTGATGATAGGCCTAGTTTAGATTGTCTACCAAACAACAATAACATAGAACAAACGTGGAACAAACCAGAATCAAGTGACAATATATCATTTAGTCATGATTTACCATCCTGTAGCCAAACATCAACCAGTAAGTGTCATGATAATCTGATTATAATACAGATCTTTATTTTATGATCAGTAGTGGAATACCGCGTTTTATCAGTGAAATAAAAGTGTTATTCCACTGGCTAGCAGTTGTCCATGTTGTTTTTACCTAAAATGATTGTAAAATCATCAAATAAATAGAACATTTGTCGTTTTGTCGTGAATAACATATTTTATTTCATCTCTAAGCAAGAAAACGTTTATATTTTCACTCATGCTACGCATTCGTGAAAATATAAGTTTTCTTGCTTCTCGATGAAATAAAATATGTTATTCACTCTAAAACGACAAATATCCTCTATATATTTCGTTTTGTTTCTTATACTTTTGATGGCCTCTATTACATGAGGATCTGACCGGTTGTAGTGTAAGGTCGCGACAGAGGTCATACATGCGACTTTTCATCTTATGACGTCAGACATTGATTAATCAATCAGCGTTGACGTTTCTAGTGGTTTACCCAGAGTTCCTTGCATGGCATGCCAAGAACTCGCCGTAACAGACCGTTTCATTGACTAATCTCTCATTTCAACCAAAACGCTGGTAATATAACAATTCTTCCAGATCCTAGTGTAGTAAAGAAAGGTAAAACGAAATTTTGAACTATAAAAAACGAAACGAAATAGGATCTGTTTTAATCAGATTGAATGAGGAACTTGAGAAGCCGATTTCTGTGTCCTTGACTTGTTTCATTATCCTGTGATTAAAATATTATTTAAATGAAGTGGGGTAGGTGATTCTGGTTGTGGCCTTCGACCCCAAGGTTATCTTTGGCTTCTAAAATTCAGATCAAGACCACCACTCCAATTAGCTATTAGACCAGGAGCCCAGGGGGTTAACCTAGCTGAAAAGTGTACCAATTTTCTCCTATATGGTATCAATGCATGTATATCTTTGGAGTTGTTCAGTACCACTACAGGAATCATGAATTACCACTGCCAGACAGTTTGTGTGGTGGGTTACCCCTAATAGACACGCCCACAACTAGGCTAGATTTGCTGGCACTGTTCTCGTGTTTTAAAAAATTAAAGTTTTAGCCAGGATGTGTAGAATACTAATACCTAGCACATATGGAAGAGGCGATAAACTGCGGTTGCAAGAAATTGATTTTTGGGCAAAAAACGTTTTATGGGGCTAAAAATGCGTTTTTGAAAAACAAAATTGTTCCCGCAACTGCAGTTTATCGCCTCTTCCAAACGTGCTATGGAAATTAGTATTCTACGCATACTGTCACAATTTTTAATTTTTTTGATCATGGGATTAGTGCCAGCTAATCTATCCTAGTTGGGGGCGTGGCATTTTGGGCATGTCTGTTAGAGTTTTTTGTAATACCTGAAGATGTACGGTACACTGCTGTGCGATTTTCATGTGGTACACTTTTGAGCTAATCTAGCCTAGTTGGGGGGCATGACATTTTGGGCGTGGAATACCACACCCACCACCAGAAACCCGGCAGACTTACATTCTGATGATACCAGATATACATGCATTGATACCATATAGGAGAAAATTGGTACACTTTTCAGCTAGGTTAACCCCCTGGGCTCCCGCTCTATATATGTAGTGGTGGGTGTTGTGCATGATGCATGGTATACTTGATCTTTCCATAGCACCTCAAACATCTGACATAGTTTTGTTGTGGGGGGTTGGATGGCCGAATGGTTAGCGTGTGCGCGTTGTATAATAAGGTCTGTCATTGAGTCAACTGGCGTGGTTTCGATTCCCCGGTTGTACGAGACAAGAAGATTATTGAACACTATTAAATTAATTGGTTTGTTTGTACTGTTTGTTACAGATTGTGGAGATCATGGAAAAGCAAGTACCGGTTGTGATGAAGCTGTAAAAATACACCCAGAAATCAACCTTGCATCGCTAACTTTACACACAAGCAGCAGTGATACAGTTCCCATTGTGGTGCTCGATAGGGGTCAGTCTGAACATATGAATACTGAAAGATCTTCACCACCAATACTTAGGAAATCAAGTAGCATGCCTACATCTCCAAGTGCAAAACTGTCTCCTACAAAACTGAGTAAGCGAAAAAGTTTGTCTCCACGTCTGTCACCTCGAAGAATTGCTCAATCTCCCCAAAATAGAAAAAGAAGTCCTAGAAAAAATCCCAAATCTCCCAAAAACATATTTGAAAAATTTGAATCTGAAACTGATTCTCAGGCTGAGTCGGATTCTGGAGTTCCATCAGCATCATGTAGTCCTAAAGATAAATCTAAGAAAAGAAATAGAAATATGGAGATGTCATTCGATGTTTCTGCTCTTAGAAAATTAACTGGAACAAAATCTAAAAGTGACAGCAAAAATGACGTTAGTCAAGTTGCCACTACCACTGGCGCAAAGTCTGAAAGATCTCCAAAGTGCGCAGAAAAACAAAAGGTTTCTCCAAGGGCAAGCCCTAAAGCTAAGGAGGCTGAAATTCCGAGCAAAAAGAGAATTAGATCACCAAAATTGTTAACAGATGATATGATTTTGCTGCCATTAGTTGATCATCGAAAAGCACGAACCTCATCTAAATCTGACAAGATTAAAACACAATCTAGTCCAGTTATTGAAACAATCGAGTCCCAAATAACTTCAGCTGTCAGAAGCCTGGATTTTACAGAGGACTCGCTACCTACCCCAAAAGATGATCAGAACAAAAATGAAAACAATAACTGTTCTATGTCTGAAATATGTGTTAAAAGTGATATTCCTATGGGATCTTGTGAGATAGAGGAAAAAGTAAGTCTGAGTGCTTCTGCCACTAATTCAAGTATGAAAAGGTTACTCGATTCCGCTAAGCGTCGCAACAAGCAGAAGAATCATCAGCTTCTTCAACTGATACAGCGTATTAGCAAACAGCTGCAGTCTTCGTCACAGTTTACAAATCTAGACAAAGACTCAAAAGGAAATGAAAGTGATAGCAGCATCGAACTTACATTGAAGGAAATAGAAAATGACGAAAGTAGTGATGGAACATTACCAGCAGTAGATAGTCCTGAAGCAGACCTCGCTGCTGCTGCTGCTCCATGTGAAAAAAAGGACATTAAATCAGATTGTGTAAATGTAGATGAACCTAGTTCTTCTGCTCAACGAGCGCCCATTAACTATTTATTGACAAAGTTCATAGGTAATTATGTGATTCCTAAACCATGTGATGATAGCTTATCTGTGATTGGTCAGTCTTCAACAGTATTACCCTGCAACAAACAACCAGAAACTCCCTCAATTCAAGTTGACACTGAAATAAACAAAGGCATTGAATCTACTTTTGTTCCTGTAGAGACACCATGTTCGACTTCAGTGACTACTATAGACTCTTGTGATAAACTTGGTGGTAGTTCACGGGATGCTGTAAACAATATCCTCAGATCACTTAGCATCCGAAATACACCACCTTTAGACGCGGATGAACCAATTTTAATTGACGAGAAATGCATCGAGGAGTCGTCTGATCAGCCAAGCAGCAGCAATATAGACTTTATAAAGATATACAAAGACAGTCCTAAAGGAAAGAGATATGGAACAACTTCGAATAATCATGAAAATGAACTTTCTCCAAGATCAAAGAAGATTCAAGAAACAAAGGAACCTTTACCCATATCTATTCTGTCACGACACGAAAAGAAACAATCTCCCACAAAAACATCAGCATTTTTCAGTATTGAATTGGAAGATTTTTTGAGTGATCATAAGAATAGGGTTATTGGGAAGGATATGGAGTCGCTGGACATCAGTTTAAGTACTACAGCATCACCTGTTGATAAAACAGAGCAGAAAAATGACTACGAGTTGTATGAACCAGATTTTGATGAAATTGATGGGGCTTTATTTTTGTCTTTTGCTACTGAAGAAGCATTACAGGTAAAAATATTGTTTAATTCTTTTAATAGAATGTTGAATCATACAACATAAAACAGGTTTCAGTAGCAAATAAGATTCAAGGGCAAATCAATAAGATTCAAGGGCAAATCAATAATATTCAAGGGCAAATGAGCAGGGCTGTCGGTAATTTTTCACAGTTGATTAGCAGCACTGCTAATCAAAAAGTCCAATTTTGCCAAATTTGATTAGCAAATTTAAAAATTGATTAGCAGTTTTTCAGTTTCAACGTAAAACACCTAAATAACAAGATATTACTTTAATTCATAACAAATATTCTGACTATTCTTAGATATTTTAGCACTGCCACAAGTACTTGTGACAGTTTGTGAATCTGATATAGACATTTAGTTAGGTCTTATGTCTGAAGAAAATTCTTGACAGTGACTTCTGAAGCCCCACTCATTTTAATTGTTATTTTTTTGTAACGTTAGAAATCTTCGTTAGAAAACAATTTTGTCTGCTTTTTATCGTGTATTACTATTTTTGTTCAATCGGGCGCACCTCGATTAACTAGACACACGCGATAAAAACAATATTTTACGGGAATTTTTACTTTGATGTATCATTTTACAATACGTTAACATGTATATATTTTTTTATATTTTATTTACAATACGGGAGGATACACTGGATTTATTTCTTTCAAAATGAATATGATATAATTACTTGATGTCTCGCAACGTGAGTGGTACTACTTGATTCCCTATTTCCGGTTTAATAGTCCCTATTCATAGAGTTATGTCCCTGTGTTATATAGTATTGTGTCTGGGTAGTTCGAGAAGAAAATGTCACACGGAGAATTCAGTTTTGTTTATAAAATTTTATTCAACATTTTATACACGTTGAAAGTGTTGAGTAAGCCTTCTAGTCTTCAAAATGTGGATTATTCTTGTGTCAATATCCAAAATGACAGGCATATTAATGATTCACAGTAACTGAATCAAAAACGTTGGATTTTAATTTTTGGTTCGCAACGGACAAAATATGTATCGCAAATTGCGCTGCAATATTGGTTGTCGGCAGCCCTGCAAATGAGTAATATTCAGAAATGAGTAATGTTCAAGGGCAAATGAGTAATGTTCAAGGGCAAATGAGTAATATTCAAGGGCAATTGAATAATGTTCAAGGGCACCAGTAATATTCAAGGGAAAATGAATAAGGTTGAAGGCAAATGAGTAATTTTTAAAGTCAAATGAATACTGTTCAAAGTCAAATGTGTAATGTTCAAGGTCAAATGAGTAATATTCTAATGTAGACAAAGAGGGAGGGGGACCCTTTTTGGGACTAAATCATTTCATTGAGCCGTCCAGTGCAAAAGTGTGAATCCCTTTTGGTTCAGATACTTTTCAATAGTGCAGACACGACATATCTTTGAATCGATTTTATGTACTTTCATAATGTGGACATATTATGCAGTTGCTACTGGGTCATTCCATGTCAAGTGGACCAAATTTCAGAAAGTTGGGAACATGACAACCTCCAAAAAAATTATAAAAAAATATATGGCCTTAAGCTAACAAATCCAAAATTATACCTCTCTAGGCCGAAAACTCGCTGAGATAATAAGATATTATAAATGATATGGGGTTTAACGTCCTACTGTTCTGCTCCTATACTAAGCTAATGAAGACGGGCATACGCCATACAGTGTACTATGAGGGAAATTTTGCCCGGGCAGCGGCACTATCGCCTACTCTTATATCGAATTCCAACTGCCATGGGATCTTTTACGTGCATTCCAATGTGTACACGGGACCTTGGTTTTTCGGATCATCCGATAGACTAGACAGCTGTCCTTGTCAGGCCCTCCGTTCTGCACCACTGACAAGGGGGAACCACGTCGGAAAATCGGGATGAACTTTCTCAGCCAATGCAGGGATCGAACACCCGACCTCCAGGCTAGCGAGCCAGCGTCTTAACCTCTTAGCCAGCGTGGCTCCGATAATGAGATAATGATTTGTTGTTTATATTTCAGGCCCATGTTAGTGTTGAAGCTAAAACTAAGTGGGATAAGGACACCAATACATTCCTGGGTATTTCTCGTATTCTCGAGATTCAGAAGAACGAACTGAATGAATCACATGACTCGATAGAAACATCCACTCCTAATTCAGCAGGCAAACTAAAAACATTGAGAGGACAGCACATGAGATGGAGAAAATATCAACGCATGTTACACAAGTAATTTTTTAATTTTTTTTTATTTTTTAAAACCATGTTAACTCTTTCACTGCCCAGGCCTTTTTCAAAAAATTAGTTGTAAATTGCCCAGGTTTTGTAGGGGGGGGGGACCTTTTGTAAAAGATGAATTTTACTCAACAAATCCTTGTCTTCATCCCTCCTGTAGTCTACTCAGATGATGTAAAAATCAAAATTATCTCTTGACTCGAATGGTTGATGTTGAAACCATCTCCTGCACAAAGGGGCATTTTGCACGTTTTATACGCCCACATTGAAATGTGGTTGTATATATTGCCGCCGCCCCCGTCCAAATATCCGATTGACTTTAAATTTTTGCATAATTTTAATAAATACTCCCGTCATTTGTACATGTTGTATCTTTGCAGAGAATTGGAGGCCATTTTTCACCCAGACAAAGAAGAGAAATCACTCGCTTTCCCAGAAAAAACTAAAGATATAACTAAAATAAAAGGCTGGAAGAAAAAGTATATGGATCAGTCAAATCCAGTTTATGGTTCGTTTAATCTGTCATCACTAATTCTTTACTTGAAATTTATAGTGGGATTTAAGTGGGGTTGGATGGCCGAATGATTAGCATATGAGGTCTGTCATTGAGTCAACTGTCGCGGTTTCGATTCCACGGTTGTACGTGACAAGGAGTAGGGTCGCCTGTCCAACCTCGTCGGTTTTCTCCGGGTCCACCGGTTATCCCCCACTGCTAAAGATCCCTATGCGCAAGCGAATTATTGAAATAAAATTAAACCATATGTTAGTCCCGAAATGACCTGGTTTGTGTTGAGTGGACGTTAAACCCCATCTCTCTTTCTCTCGCTCTAGTGGGAATTTATTGACCAAATGGTAGATTGTAACTTCGTAAAGTGTGTCATTGTACGTGACGAGGAGTGGGGTCAACTGCCTAACTGCTAAAGATCCCTATTGATATAAAATTGTTTCATATATTAGTCCCGAAATGACCTAGTCTACAATGAATAGACGTTATAAACATGACTAATGGGACAAGAAGCAGTTCTTATTGTTAAAGGTCATGTGAAGGTCAAACCTGCTTTCATTAATTTATGCTAAAATAAAATATTGAGAACTTTGATATATAGCTGTTGGCAAAAAGATTTGCTGACAGTCTGTATGATGGAAACTGTATTTTAAATCACAAATAGAACAACCTTATTGTTAAAGGTCAGGTGAAGGTCAAACCTGCCTTCATTATCGGTATTTATACAAACAAAATTTTAGATTATAGCATACAGTTATGGACTGTAGAAACTGTCTAAAGATAACATATTGTTGATCTTGAGGGATATCTGAAAGTCAAACACAGTAGGTTTTGTCTTTGACCAAAAAATGTATTAAAGACAAACGGTGAATCTGGTAAAGATTATAAATGAAATGTTAGGCTTCCATTATGGTTGTTTTTCTGGAACTTAGTCATGATTAAAATACGAATGTGACGTCATGGGCCAAGCAAACATTATTTATACAAGTTGAAATTTTGGAACCGTGTGACTCATTTCATTGCAAAGCATGTATGAGTGTCTGTATTTTAAGTTGTTTAATGGTCTAGAGCTTAAGACCAGTGTCCCTCATGTTGTTTCAATATATTACTTAATGTCTTGCTCTCGACCATTAAACCACACTTAGTAACCAGTCTAGTCATTCGGATGAGACAAAAAACCGAGGTCCCGTGTACACATTGGCGTACACGTAAAAGATCCCTTGACAGTTGGAATTCGATATAAGAGTAGACCGTAGTGTCGCTGTCCAGGCAAAATTTCCCTCATAGCACACTGTATGGCGTATGCTCGTCTTCATTAGCCCAGTTGGAGCAGAACAGTAGGACGTTAAACCCCATTTCATTTCATTTCATTTAGTAATGAGTTTAGATTTGTTTCTGTAGGTAGTAAAGGTAAGAAAAAGAAGAACCAGACGGCCACGTTATCAGATAATTATTTTCAAGAATACAACAATTACTGGTCGGATAACGAGGAACCAATCGTACTCAACTCTTCTGGTAGTGAGGTAGAATACGATGAAGATGATGAAGATCTACCAATGGTTGCTGAGTATACGGAAGCGTTAGTTCCACCGTTACCTGAAATACCCTGTAAGATGTTTATCTTGTAATCTTCTAGCTTTATCCGCTACGATATAGATAGGAACCTAATGATATGGTAACGACTTTAATCAGTAGTGGGTAAAGTTGTCGAGCACAATCAAATGTTTTATTAAAGATACATTATGGGAGATTAGATAAAGTGCTTGTTGTTCATAGTGTTTAACGTCAGCTTCCACCGAAGGTCATATCGCAGACAAGTTTTTTTTATTTTTTTTTTATTATTATCTTTTACCTGTGAGAGGAAACCGGAGTACCCGGAGTAAACCCACGAGGTTGAGAAGGCGCTCCTATCTCCAAGCCACATACGGACACCGGGGATGGAAACCACAACTGCATGCCAGAGATGACGGGCCAGCTAGAGGTCGAAACATGGCCCTCTCAACCGCCTGGCAGCTCTTACTATAATAGTTAAAAACTAGATAATATAAAGGGAATTTGCTGAAAATTTCAGTCCAATTGATCCACTCTGAACCGACATATATGCAATTGAATTTTAGGCCTAAGCTAGCCTTATCAAAGAATCATAACCAATTAAAATAAAATTAAACCATATATTAGTCCCGAATTCACCTAGTTTGTGTTGAGTGGAAGTTAAACCAGGTTTCTCACTAATCTATTGGATTCATGGACTCACTCATACAACAAAATTGTTGTTGGATATTTAATGGTGATGTTTATATAATTGTAGTAATGAGTCGACTAGCCAGAAAGATATTTGTTAAAAAGATGGGCTATAGTGAAGAAGATGAATTAATAATATTAAAACTTGGAGGCCGACGTATCAATAGAATAATAGGTAAACTGGGTAAAGACGATAGCATGATGGCCGCTGAAGACGATGACGCTACAAAGGAAAAGGTAGAATTTATTTTTTTCTTGTTCACTTTTATCAGCTTATTTTGGCAATGGCATTTTCTGATACTGGCAATCGTAGAAAAATGCCACTTGTCCCACATAACCAAAATGATAACTGAAATTAGGCATTTTCACGAGAATTGGGCGGGAAACCAACTTTGAGGCCTACTATCTTTGGTATATAACATCATATTGCAATTCCACTGTCTGGGAGTATATACAGCAATTTTTATATCTCTGGACACTCTGATGACGTTTCTAGAGCACTCCAAAGTTTACTCTTAGAATAACTTGGATTTGAAATTTTATGAAATGGGACAAATAGGGAGCATTGATAGTTAACTGCCTTAAAAGTAACCTATTTATCTCCAGGGAAGGGATTAACCCTGAAAAAATCATTTAAAGTTATTTCATTTAAAGAGTTGCAGGTATTAGTCTGATCTTTTTAACTGTTATAAAATAAATGTTTTGTACTGGCTTTAGGTAAAGAAGAAACGTATTTGTGGACGTCGACAAGATTTAATTGTTATAAAATAAATGTTTAAGGTAAAGAAGAAGCGTATTCGTAGACGTCGACAAGATTTATCTCTAGCACTATCTGAAATCATGGTAGCAGACGCACTAGATGCTTTCCAACTACCTAACAACGACGATCGTGAAGACACCTGTGATGTAGAACTATTAGACGAGGATGAAGAAGAGGTAGTAGTAGTTGGAATAGGTAAAGATCGTACGAAGTCTGTATCTATAGACGAACAGGAAGTCGTTGAAGTACAAGTTAAACCGGTCGACGATGCTGATATTAAATATTTAGAAGATGGTAATTGTGTCAGTTCACAACAAGATGATGTTAATGAGAGTGATAATAAACCTGTCTGTGATAAACCAGGTAAAATTTACAAATCTTTTATTTTATTTTACGAGCAGACCCTTCAGGTATTTTCATTCTTGACCATCACTTGTCAGAGGGGTTGAATGGTCGAATGGTTAGCACGTGCGCGTTGTATCGTAAGGTCTGTGATTGAGTCAACTGGCGTGGTTTCGATTCCCCGGTTGTACGTGACGAGGAGTAGGATCGCCTGTCCAACCTTGCGGGTTTTCTCCAGATCCCTACGTGCAAGCGATTTATTGAAATAAAATTCAACCATATGTTAGTCCCAAAATGACCCTCCTCTCTCTCTCTCTCTCTCTCTCTCTCTCTCTCTCTCTCTCTCTCTCGTGCTTTAGAACACCCGATACCACTTCTCATTTCACATAACTCATATATTTTTATTGTATTTTTGTATGTCAAGGTGATGGTTTATTTTAGGTATATATTTGTAGAAAATTATTTTCTGTTATTTATATTTCACACACACTGACAATTATGTTACAGGTTGTCGATATAGCTGCATCTGTCATTTGTGTAACCTGACATCCCTCCTGGAACCAGAAATTAACGATCAACCCACAGTTTGTGAAAAGGAATATTGTCGATTAGGATGTATATGTGATAGTCTTGGACATAATGTCCCTGCCCCGAAAAAACTTCCACATTGTGGTAAAACTAAGTGTATGCTTGAATGTGTCTGCGAGAAGGAAAAACTTTGTTCTGCGACAATTGAAAAAAGACTTTCCGTTGAACTGGAAGAGGGTGAAATACCCCCTCCTCCTATTTCATCGCAGGTTCCAATCATACCAAATAACAAAGAAAGAATTAAAAAGGGCAGACGGTCGAAAACCCCAGTAACTCTGGAGAACTCGAGCAAAAAGCGAAGAAAATCAAAAAACAATGATAAACCCGTTGAGCCTGAACAATTTACAACAGAAGTAGAAGAAATAGAAAATGGCGACGGAAAGTCAAAACGACAAAAGAAACGAACAGAAAGATTCAGTAATTTGCCGAAGAGAGAATCGACGTATCGAGTAGCGAAGAATTTAGATGCCGTGAATAGGAAGGCCATGATGGTGTATAGTGTGTCAGAAGTCTATAGCGAACAAAAAACGAGAAAACGGAAGGTAAGATGAAGATCGCATGATTGTAAACGTCCTGTGGGTTGGATGGCCAAATGGTTAGCGCGTACGCACTGTATCATAAGGTCTGTCACTGAGTCAACTGGCGTGGGTTCGATTCCCCCGGTGTACGTGGTTTCCTCCCACTGCTAAAGACCCCTACGCACTAATGAAATAGTACCTGACATTGTCAACTTAGTGCCAGACATGTATTAATAATATCAGTAAAAAAGACAAATCAGTGCCAGACAAAGCCTGAATCTGTGCCTGACATTGTCTGTGACAGGTGCCTTATTTCCAGGTTTGACCTTATTTTCATCCCAAAATGACCTAGTTTGTGTCTGGTGGAGGTTAGACCCCATCTCTCTCTCTCTTGTTGAATATGTTGCTTGTAGAATAGGTGTGTAAAGAGTTGATGTATTATTTCTATAGTATAGACATGACTTTAATTGTTTTTCTAGTCACAAGTAGCTGAAGATGGTACAACTGATATATCTCCATCTGGCAAGGTAAGTTCTATATATATATATATACAGTGGAGTAATTGATTCTCTTATTACCAACACAGCTGGGGGGTTGGATGACTGAATGGTTAGCGTGTGCGGCTATATCATAAGTCTGTCCTAGAGTCAACTGGCGTGGTTTCGATTCCCCGGTTGTATGTGACAAGTAGTAGGGTCGCCTGTTCAACCTTGTGGCTTTCTCCGGGTCCTACGGTTTCCTCGCACTACTAAAGACCCCTACGCGCAAGCGAATTATTGAAATAAAATTGAACCATGTGTTAGTCCCGAAATGACCTAGTTTGTGTTAATAGAGTTAAACTCTCTCTCCAGTCTCCACCCATAAACTTGTATGAAATTAAAATTTTTCAGGGAAATGGACCAGAAGTTGTTATAGAAAGAGATGATGTAGATGAAAATGAATTTGCTGAATTTACATTTAAACCAGTCAAAAAGTTAGTTTATATATCATAATTATCCTTTTATACAAACAATTCTGTGAGGGGATCAACCCAAATATAATGTTGAATTAGATACATCTTTATTCCCATTATTTAGGAAGCCACGGTGGCTAAGTGGGTAAGATGCTGGCTTGCAAGCCTGGAGGTCGTGTGTTCGATCCCTCCATTTGCTGCATTGGCCCAGAAAGTTCATCGGGATTTTCCGACATGGTATCTCCCTTGTTATTGATGCAGGATGGAGGGCCTGACAAGGACAGCTGTCAAGTCGTTTGGATGGGATGAAAAACCAAGGCCCAGTGTATACATTGACGTGAACATAAAAGATCCAATGGCAGTTGGTATTCGATATAAGAGTAAGCCATAGTGCTGCTGCATGGGCAAAATTTCCCTCATAGTACACTATATGGCGTATGCCCGTCTTCATTAACCCAGTAGAAACATTTACTCCTATTATTTAATTTACTTATTTCTGCTGATTGATAAAAATAATAACTTTTATTTGTAGAAGAAGCCGCAAGGAAAGTCTCGAACCAAGACTTGATGATGGTGAAATATCGACGTTAGAAACAATGCAAGAATCGGTGGAGGAAGCCGGTTGTGAATTACGGAAAGTTCTTACCATGGACCTTCCACTCGGTTCTTCCAAACTACATGCTCAGTTAAGACCACAACCACCGTTAACGTCAACCTCTGCTCAAGATTTCACTTCTGCTGTGAATCTAGACGGGCCTAAGACTGCAATAAAAGAGGAACTTTTAAATCTGAATTTATCGGATAAAGAAAAACATCGTCTTGAACTTGAACGTCAGTTGTTGAAAGAACAGTTACTACAGAAACAACCGACTGGCTTCCACAAGGCAGGACAAAATTTCTCTGCAGAACAAGGTGTTGATATTTCTGCTAGACGAGTCTCTGATCGCAAATGGCATACCCAGATGGTGTGTTTAAAACCAAATCCACGATTAGGGGCTGACGCTGAAAATGGTAAAGAAACGGAAGATGAAATAAAACTGTTGGAATTTATTGCTAATTGTAATTGGGATACTGCCAAACCACAAATTTTAAGTAAGGTAGCCCAATGTTTACGACCCAGGGTTTATCCCAGCACCAGAAGAATGCTAGTGGGCGATTTTTTGGTGGAAATTCTCCCCAGAGCTGACAGACCACCCCTCATTCCTCCGGAATTAAAAACAAAGCTTCCCAATATGATGTATTCTATTCGAATTAAAGTTACGTGCCGGGAAGAATTCTACCAACAGGTAATGAAGACCCAATCAGCTGTGACATCTCAACCTGCCATCGCTAAGAGTTGTAGTCCAGCAACCATTTCATGCTCAAAACCCATATTATCGGTACCAGTTCCAGTTCTCTCAAACCATCATTCGTCACCATTCCCTACTGCTATCTCTACAACCCCTTGTTCTATCTCATCGAGTGCTGGAGGTATTTCAGCATTTAGTCGACTACAAATCTCTCAACCTGGTCATAACATGATATCTAGAAGCTTATCTCATGAGGGCATCAGATCGTCGAATTTCTCACAATGTTCATCAGAGGTTGTTGATTTGACTCTCGACGAGGGAGAAATAAACCATGAACTTGTAATAACAAAAAAGAAAAAACGAAAAAATAAACCAGATAAGTTAAACCAACACGAAGTTTCCAGGAAAAAGAAAAAATTAAAGAAAAATAAGCAAAAGTCAACTGAAAGACCAGAAAAATCAAGCCTACCTTTGTCTACGACTGGTGGACAGGCACCTCTCCTTGGTACCTTGAAGGTACTTCAAGTTGCTGGAGCCAGTGCACCTCTATTGAAATTGGTTACAGCTCCAGGAATTACATCTAATCCAGGGTCCACCAAAGATCTAATTGCAGTCCCTATTCAGATTTCTCCTCAGTTGAACCCAACAATCACAGCAGCTTTGAAAACTGGTAGAGCAACAACTCCCAAAAACTTAGCGGTTCCCAGAAAACCCAGGCAATTTATTGGAAAGAATCCCAGCCCACCAACATCTCCCATTGACTTCTCAGTACCAAAATTATCTGCAGAAAATAACGGTTATAAATCACATAACGACTCGAAGGATGCTCTGTGTCAAGGTAGTGACGTTACAAAGGATGGGAAGCAGGTGGGAACTAAGAAAGACTCGGCTAAGAACAAGAGGTCGAAACCGAAGACTAAACTACTCAGTCCTTGTCCTCATGGATGTAAGGAGCAACATAATTCTGAAGATGAGTATGTTGAGATAGAGGAACTATTAGATGAAGATAGTCGATGGTCAGCCTGCAGCGAGAATTCTAGTTTACACAGTTCTGGCAATGATACCTTCTTAGATCTAGCTGAGGTAAGTTACTGCATTAAAAACACCTGTAAAAACACCTGTAAGCATTTCAATATGTGGTTTCTTTATTGATTGTATATCTGTAGCATCCTAGATTGGTCGGGAGCCATGGTGGCTAAGTGGGTAAGACGCTGACTCGTTAGCCTGGAGGTCGCGTGTTCGATCCCTGCATTGGTCGAGAAAGTTCATCGGGATTTTCCAGCGTGTTTTCCCCTTGTCAGTGGTACAAGACGGAGGCCTGACAAGGACAGTTGTCTAGTCAATCGGATGAGACGGAAAACTGAGATGCTGTGTATATATTGGCGTACAGGTAAAAGATCCCTTGGCAGTTGGAATTTGATATAAGAGTTGGCCATAGTGCCGCTGTCCGGCAAAATTTCCCACATTGTACACTGTATGGTGTTCGCCCATCTTCATTAGCCCAGCGGAGCAGAACAGTAGGACATTAAACCCCATTTCATTTCATTTTTTAGATATTGATAGATTTTTTGTGTCCACGAGTACTCAAGTATTTTTTTTTTTGTAGGATGATGAAGATACAGCTAGGGATATGTCAAAATATGCTAAAATGAAACGGTAAATAATTTTTCTTCTATGAATTTATGAAGTAAGTTGTATTTAAAGCCTGTGCGTGTGAAGAGGTATATTTAACCTTTGCTCAACTGGTGTTGTTTCGATTCCCCATTGTACGTGACAAGGAGTAGGGTCGCCCTTTCCAACCTCGTGGGTTTTCTCCAGGTCCTCCGGTTTCCCCCCACTGCTAAAGACCCCTACGTGCAAACGAAGTAATGAAATAAAATTGAACCATATGTTATTCCCTAAATGACCTAGTTTGTGTCGAGTGGATTTTAAACCCCATTTCCCTCTCTCTCTGCTGAGGTGGTATTGCAGACAATCAAAGTGAGTCAGAGTTACCTCCCATGTAAGCATGACAATATTGCATGAGGTAACTTCCTGTCTGTTTAGATATTATCATGTGGTTAAATTACTTTTAATCGTACTTCACTCCACTACGATATGTATCCAGATACTACCCTACCAAATTATGTGTCTTTGTCAGATTGGACACAAGGTATTTTTATAGACATATATTGTCGTGACCTCTGTCCGCCCAGAAGTCCATTCACATCTATGAGAAGATGGTATTGTGTAAAGTAGAAATGATGTGTTGTTTTTATTATATTCTTTAATTTATTTCCCCAGAGAGAGAAGAAGACGTTTAGAACTAAGTGCACTGTTTGTAAAATTAAAATCTGTTGTATTTCCAAATCAAACTTGTGGAAATGAAGTTGTACAGAAGTTTAGAGTTCTTAATCAGGTATGTGTATTCAATAGGATTTTTAAACAGATTTTTTTTTTTTGGAACGTGGGGAGTGGGGTATGATAATCTTATAGGTAAAAACTTTTTTCCGATTTTGACGAAACTTGAAATATAGGTTTATCTCCAAAAAATCTCTGTTCCTTTCGATATTGGCATGTATCTGACTGTAACTTCATGGTTCTAGCTGGTGGACCCTCTAAAGGTCACAATTTTTATCCAATTTTGATGAAATTTAAAATGTATGTTTATATCCCAAAGATCTCAGTTCCTTTTGATATTAATGCTTGTCGCACCATAACATCCTGGATTATGGCCCCTTATTGTATGCTTTTTTTTTTAGCTTCTTCTCTGCCCATCTCTTGAACAATGTGGGTGTATCTTGTTTTTTTTGGTGGGGGGGGGGATTTCCAATAGTGTTGATCAGTATAGTTCATCTAGAGAAAAAAAAACAGAAGAATAAGGAAAGAGTTAAAGTTACTTACATCAAGAGATGAGATGTTAAAACATCTAGACAACCTATTTTATGAAGATTATTTTAATGTACTAAGTTACTTCTATGTATTATTTTATTCAATGTATATATATTTCAGGCACAACAATTGATTCATTCGGAACTGGAAGTAGAGTCATCATTAAAACAGTCATTAAAATTGGAAGAGGAAAAGAATAGGAAATTACAGGAAACTATATTAGATATAATGGGTAGGTATATATATATATTATCGTCTGTTGTCAGGCCATAATATCTTGTAACCACTCATAAGTTCTTGACAGATTTTGCAGGGATATAAGGAAGAACCCTACTGCAATTTAGAATTTTTTTTATCACTAATCGCAGAGTATTTCCACATTTATTTTGAAACTTATGAAGTTTGTGAATGGAATATAAATCAAGGTTCTTGGTTCTTGATGTTTTGGGTCTTGAACTCTTGCTTTGTTTTAATTCCTATTGTATTTTAGACAAAATCTCTGAATTACAGGGTGGTGGGGGCGGGGGGATGGCCGAATGGTTAGTGTGTGCGTGTTGTATCACAGGGTCTGTCATGAATCAACTGGCGTGGTTTCGATTCCCTGGTTGTATGTGACAAGGAGTAGGGTCGCCTGTCCGACCTCGTGGGTTTTCTCCAGCTTATGTTAGTCCCAAAATGACCTAGTTTGTGTCAAGTGGTGGTTAAACCTCTCTCTCTCTCTGTCTCCTCTCTCTGAAATACAGCTTGGATAATTCTTAAATTATTTTAAAAAGAAGATTCTTTACCAAAACAAATGTTCATTTAGGGGTGATGATTTTCCGTGATCGCGGAAAAAACGCGGAAATCGCGGAATTGTCCACTCAAAACGGAATTTGAAATCTCACACGGAAAAAGACGGAAAAGCCGATATTTGCTGATACTAAACACAAACTCAAAATAATTTTGCAGTTATCCAAGTATTTCATCTTTTTATTCATAAAAATCGGAAATATTGAATGATATCGCATGGTTTTGTTACTGTCTATTTTAGTATTTCGCTACTTTCATTTCATCATTTAGGAATCATAATTTTAATCGAAACGAAAACCCGTCTTTCATGTATCCCATTATAAAATTACTCTGTAGTTTAACTTTAATTAAACTTTGTAATGTATATATATGTCTTTAAAAAAACTTCTGTCACTTCATAAAAGTAAAAATCGTTTCATTTACTTCTTATTTTACTGCCGGGCTCGTGACTCGTGTTTATCCGCATTAACCACGTGACATCAGAAATATACCGTAGCCTTGTGAATCCAGCCCTTATTCTCGAAGAAACGGTAGTAACTACGAAGATGTCTGGATAAATCGCGACTACACCTAGCAGCTGAGAAAAATGGCTTCGTCTGCTAAAAAGATGAAACGAGCTCACAAGATGTAATTTTCTGTTATTTAATTCGGGAAACAGGTTTAAAGAATAACTAGTCATTGAACATTACAAGTCATTCACAATTCAACATTTGTTATCATTGGTTTAAAATGATCCGTTTTGTAATAAAAGGCATTTTAAGATGTTTTATTCATTTATTCATAAAATAACATTTTATCTCGAAAAAACGGAATATGGTCAGCTCTGAAACGGAAAATAACGGAATTAAAAATACTTAAAATGGAATTTGCTATTTTCTGAAACGGAAAATCATCACCCCTATTCATTCCCTGATGAAAACCATTTGATGATAATTTAAACCATTGGATTATACATGGACTATATATTTTTATATACATGCACTATAATTCTTTACCAAAACAAATGTTCATTCCCTGATGAAAACCATTTGAACATAACTTGAACCATTGGATTATACATGAACTATATATATTTATATTATTGTTGTATTTATAGAATCCATGTGGGAAGAAGGTATAACTCAGGACAGTATTACGGAAGCTGTTGAATTAACAGATCAAAACATACCAGCTAGACTAGTAGGACGGGTCATTGATTCCTTACAAGAATATTCCAGTGTACGAAAACTTCAAAAGACCATGGATAAGGAATATTCTCTCAAAAAAAGCAATGCCGAGAAAACAAAGAAAGCTAAAAACAGTAAGGTTAATAAAGATATAAAATCAGGAAACGGTGAAATATTGGCTTCATTACTTCAACCCGTTAATCCGGCACCACAATGTGGAAGTATGATATTAGCGACTCTAGCGAAACTAAGTGAGAATTCGGAGAAGCAGACGTCCGATGTTCCCGAAAATGAAAATGAACAGGTGGTTGATTTAGTGAGTGATGAATCTGTGGTGTCTGTTATTTCTAGTCGATCTCAGTCACCTCTAGAGGGTGTTGACGTACATCAGGTGACTGAACACGAAGATGAGGATCGGGTTGTCAACTCGTTAAACATTTCTCAGTCGATATCTCCTCTTGTTGGGAACATTTCCAAATCTCCCGATAGTAACGTTAAATGTGATGGACAAGACAAGGAGGATAATTTACAAACAAACGGTAGCAAATTTGTTGATGAAAGTTCTCTTGCACTTAGTGAATTCGCTACCGATAATGACATACAAAACTCATGTTCGCAGCAAATTCAAAGTGATACAAACGTACAAAACTGTCATCCGCAGCAAAATAAGGAAAAAAGGGACGAAGAAACGGAAATAGAATCAGATACAGATTTAAAACAAAAACAAAGTCTGGATGATGACAAAACGTTATGTGTTCAAAGTTCTGTGTTAGATGATGAAAACGTGAATAATCCATGTGATTTGTTAGATCTTATTGATAAATCGTTACCTGGCAACTTAGAATTATACGAAGATATCAGTGTAGATTCGGCTGACGACAGTGATAATACAATTAGTGCTAAAGTTAAAACAAATAGTGTCCGTAAATGTGGGTTGGTCGCTGCAGTGGCAGGATACACTGACATTTCTAATGATAAATGTGATGTTACGACAGAAACAAACTCTAGCAAATCTATCTGTGATTCGGTGCCCTGTTTAAACAAAACTGAGGTCAATAGTGATACCATGTTCAATTTAAATAACGCTAAAACACCTTTAACCACTCTTAACATCAACCAATCGGATGCAAGCGCTTTAATTCCATGCAACGTGGAGCATGTTTCTAATAGCAGCAATACTCAGGGAGCAAATTTTGTAGATTGTAGTTTTGATGTTCCAGTGTTAAAAATAACATAAAAACTAATTGTTCGTTTCACTCATCATAAAGTTAATATAATTATTTTACACGCGGTGCCTTTCTAGTAGTGTGTTTTCATTCTGCTTACGGATCCTTTTGTATGAAAATTTGTCATTTTTAAGATGTTATACAATTTGTATGAAATATGAAGACAAAGATTATGACTCCGTAATATGTAATTAATATTATATGCACATATTTAATGTGGATGTGTTTGTCACCATTACTCTGTTGGTCTGGTGTCCATCCACAATTTCTAGTGAACACTTTAAGTTTATGTCTGGTGCGGTCCTCATCAACTTACTATTGACAACAATCAGGTTAAAATACAGATTTATATTTCGTTTCGCCTTTTTATAATTTTGATGGCCTCTACTACATAAAGTTCTGACCAGTTGTAGTAAGAGCTTGCGTCAGAGGTCATACGAGCAGCTTTTGACCCTATGATGTCAGACATTTGATTAACCAATCAGCGTTGACGTTTCATTGGCTAATCCCTCACATCATATAGAACGTGGGTTATATAACAACTCTTCAGATCCTAGTGTTGTGAAGACAAGTAAAACGAAATTTTAAACTATATGAAACGAAATAGGATCTGTGTTTTAATCAGATTTTATTTAGATGACCGTTGTTTATTTGGTTTTAAAGAAGATTTTGATAAAATCCGCAGCATTTATTTACAATAGTTTAAGAGCTAACAACTTTACTGCTTGTTCTGTGTTCTATCGAAAACATAAAGTATATTTAACAAGCGTTCGCTTGGAAACCCTGATAACGTTAAAACTTCTATCTCTGTGATGTATTCGCAAAACTGTCTCTCTTTCTAAATTGGACATCCCGGAATCATAGATATACCCGCCCAGACCTTCAATGTAATTTTAATGACTCTTTATACCAATCTGGTTAAAACACAGATCCTATTTCGTTTCGTTTTTATAGTTCAAAATTTCGTTTTACTTGTCTTTACTACACTTGGATCTGGAAGTGTTGTTATTTAACTTGTGTTCTGCTTGAAATGAGGGGTCAGCCAATCAAATGGTCTGTCGAATCGAGTGTTTGACCTTTTTTGCCCGAAACTGTGGGTAATCCACTAGTAACATCAATGCTGATTGGTTAATCAAATGTCTGACGTCATAGGTCAAAAGTCGGTCTTTTGACCCCTGACGTGACCTATGGCTATAACTTGTCAGATCTTCATGTAGTGTAGGCCATCGAAAGTATAAAAAAACGTAACGAAATATAGATCTGTATTTTAATCAGCTTGTCTTTATACTTACTTCATAGAAAATAATATCGTTAATTTGTGAATTTTCATACAACTGGACACCATGATTCCGATCAGACATTTGGATCTGGCCCTTATTCACGAAAACTTAAACTAAAATACAATCGAAATTTTAAGAAATACTGCAATTCGATTGGCTGACCAGTAAAATCAATTTGCATATATCCAATTTGCATATTGGTCAGCCAATCGAATTGCAGTATTTCTTAAAATTTCGATTGTATCTTAGTACTGCAATTCGATTGGCTGACCAGTAAAATCAATTTGCATATATCCAATTTGCATATTGGTCAGCCAATCGAATTGCAGTATTTCTTAAAATTTCGATTGTATTTTAGTTTAAGTTTTCGTGAATAAGGGCCCTGGATCATTAAATGTCTCCGCAATCAAACGCTAAAATAGTTCCAGAAAACATGTTTACGTTATGGATTGTATTCGTAAGATGGGATTGAATACATGTTATAAAATAAAATACATGTAGAATTATTTTTATAAAATTATTTGAGAAAAGAAAACAGGAAAACTTTTTCGGCAAATCTTGTGAAATTTAAGATTATTATTTTGTTGATTGTGCTTTTCAAGTTTCTTTAATTCGACTTTAATTTAAAATTGTTATAGTTTGTTTTCAAAATAATCTTACATGAGTTTATATTTTCAAAATACATTGAGATGAATGCAAGCAGCACTATATTGAAACAAGGTTGTTAATGTGTTTTTACTGAATTGAGTTAACATGTTTCATGAATTATTTAAATCTCAACACAGCACCCTCTACACTGCTTTATATAAGTTTCTGATGTGGGTTCGCCTGTCCAACCTTCAGGGGTTTTCTCTGGGTCCTCCGGTTTCCTGCCACTGCTAAAGACCCCTACGCGCAAGCGAATTATTGAAATAAAATTGAACCATATGTTAGTCCCGAAATGACCTAGTTTGTGTCGAGTGGACATTAAACCCCATTTCTCTCTCTTTCTCTCTCTCTGATGTGGGAAATTAACATGGTTGTGTGTGATTAGTCTGCCTGCGGTGAGCATGTCAATCAGTTCAGGAAATATCCGTATCAGAGATAAATTTTGCTGTGTTGAGATTTGATTTATTATTGACATTGTCAAGTAATATATAACGCATTGACGCATTTTGATATATTTATTTAACAATGTCAACTCATTTCCTATCATCGATTTTGTACAGTATCATATTTAATTAAAGACAATTGCTTACCGAGTTTTCATTGAACAAATTAGTTTTATAACTAGTCATATTAACACAATTTTATCATCATTTGTATGATTTATTATAAAAAATCTGTTTTTTTTTTGTTTTTATTTAAAATCAAATGACAGTTTCCTAAGGGGTTCGATGGCCAAATGATTAACGCATGCACATTGGATCATAAGGTCTGTCGTAGAGTCAGGTGGCGTGGTTTCGATTCCCCACTTGTATGTGACAAGGTGTAAGGTTACCTGTCCAATCTCGTGGGTTTCTCTGGGTCCTCAGGTTTCCTCCCACTGCTAAAGACCCCTACATGTTAGCGAAATGACATGGCTTGTGTCAGTGGACTAAAAACCCCATCTCTCTCTCTCTCTCACACACATACAAGAATTAGAATGTTTGGTTTAGAGTTTAGACATGGATTTCAGAAGAAAAATCAATACCTATATGATATACATGTAATGTGTTTTTTGTTTGAAAAGTTTTATGTCATCCATGTGACAGCCATTTTGTTGACAAAGCAAGGTGAATGAAGTAAGGTGTCTGAAACAAAATTATGTCTTTTTCAAGTATAACTGCCCTCTGTCTATTCATGAACATCTTTTAGCACCTCGAGCTTCACTCTAATGCTCCAGAATGTAAAAAATCCAGAATTTATTTGTAGTTTCAACATAAATTTAAGTTATTTAAAAAAGATTGTGAATCCTGCATAGGCCACTATAGCTTGTTACAGAACTACTATAAAACTTTATAATACTGTCTACTGAAAGTATTATAGTTTTATAGAACCTGTAGTCATAACTAGAGGTGTTTTTTTATACTGACTACTAAAAATGTTTATATTTTTACAACCTTATACTTGTGACATGTCAGCAGCTAATGTGCCGGACACAGAATGAAGAGTTTTTGTTTATGTTGTAGATACAATGTTAGCAATTTTCATTTCATATGATAATAAAATATAAAAATATTAACCTGTATGTTTTATTACAAGATAACTACCTAAAATATAAAACCAACTAGTTCTTGTGTATTCTTTAAATCAGTTCTTGAAATGGTCCATAATTGTAACTCCAGAACAGATAGCGGGGTTGGGTGGCCGGATGGTTAGTGTGTGCACGTTGCATCATTAGGTCTGTCATTGAGTCAACTGGCATGGTTTTGATTTCCCGTTTGTACGTGACAAGGGTTACGGTTGCTTGTCATTAAAATGATTGACTGTCAGAAAGTGAGAAAAATAAAAAGTCTGTACGCTAAACCCCATTTCTCTCTCTCCCTCTCTCTCCCTCTCTCCCTCTCCCTCTCCAGAACAGATGGTCCAATTTAACTCCAGAACGGATGAGCCGACAGTTACTGCCGACAACCCTTTCCTAAAACGTCGGACCATTACCTGGCGGTTCCGTCCATACCTAAGATGAATACTTGATATATGTAAGTGTTGTCCTGAATAATAGAGTCTTTAATGACGTCTAAATATCTAGAGAAGATACAGATGCCCGAGATGGAATCAATGATACCAGTAATTTTAGTCAATTTGATATAACCTTGTTTATCGTGAGCAATGAACCGGGTTCGAGTGAAGCCATCGTGAGACATGCACAGCGATATACTGATAAACCGTGTCTATTTACATAAGAAGGACACTAAACTCCCTTTTATTCATTCAGTGTAGGATAAAGCACGAGAGTTTTCTTTCGAGGTTTTTTTTCTGAAATCTTTCTTTCCCAGCATAACCGAAGTCGAGGACTTGTTTACATGTACGTAAAATGAGAATATCCCAGAATTCTAGTAAGAAAAACCTTATATCATGTTTTTTTTATGGGGAAAAAAACCTACCCTGGAAGAATAACCCGTTACAGATTTAAAGAAAAACTTTCAGTTTCAGAAGAATAACCCCAAATTCCCCTGTATATATCCAAAGCCGCCCCGACCTTCAGACTGCAAGTTATTCCGGGCATAGAATATACCCCAAAGATCAAAGAGATTAACCGTTATAGGTTTATAATTTTGCACAATAGATTATTTGCTATCATTATTTCGGTCTAAATGTCAAATAGGTTGAAACCAGTGATATCGATAATTTCAGTCATTCAGATAAAAACTCAATTTGTTTTCACAAACGCAAAACGGGGTCGTAATGTTTGATCAAAGGAGCGACACTCACTAGAGAGGACGACTTATTTCTGGTTCGTGCTAAATGATAAGGCCGGGTCATTTTTTCTAACGGTTAGATCTAATTGATAAGGTCAACTTCAAGTTTGGTCAAAGGTTAAGATATGTAAACAGGGCTAGCGCTAATCCCAACCCTAACCCTTGACCTAGCCCCAATGCTTATCCTAACCCAACAATCACATGTCCTAATCTTATTTACATCTCAGCGACCTTGACAAACATTGAGCTGACCTTAACAAATAGATTTAGCCCTGATGGTACATAGTGTATACTGATCATGTAGGCTATCGAACCATCATGAATATAATTGATACGGTTGAGATCAGTGGTTCAATAAGGTCACATGAATACTGATAGCAACAACTATATCATTATCATGTGATTAGATAGATGTATCCTCTATAAGCAATAGTCATTGTTGATGAAATACACACCATGCAGTCGATAATATTTTTTTTATTATTTCTAGTTTATGTAAATGGAGACACTTGGCCTGTAGCCTACAAGTAAGATTTGTGTAGCTAATATTGTAAAACATTTATTGGACCAAATAACTTAACGCTGACATGAGTTGATACTCATCATATGGTCAGCCTATTATATACGTATATATATAATACTATTGGGCTAACGTGTAAATTACTTTACGTGTAACAACCCAGGGCTTGAGAGAGTGAGAGAGAGAGAGAGAGAGAGAGAGAGTTTAACATCTACTCGATACAAACTAGGTCATTTCGGGACTAACATATGGTTCAATTTTATTTTAATAGTTCGATTGCGCGTTGGGGTCTTTAGCAGTGGGAGGAAACCGGGGGACCCGAAGAAAACCCACGAGGTTGGACAGGCGACCCTACTCCTTGTCACGTGCGGCGTTACAGCCTACTCTTATATCGAATTCCAACTGCCAAGAGATCTTGTTACGTGCACGCCAATGGTTACAAGAGACTTCTCAGTTTCTGTCTCATCCGAACGACTATACGTTGTCCCTTGCCAAGCCCTATATCCTTACTCACTGAGCCACCGTGGCTCCCAGTAAACGAGGCATAAATTCAAAAATTGATATAAATGGGAGAAACAATTTTTTTTCAGAATCCCAAAGGCAGAATGTTGCAGCACCAAAAAAGATTATAATATAAGAATATCTAGGACACATTCGAAGCAAATTTGATCGTCCATTATCGAACCAAATGAAAAGTACATTGGTTTTGTGAGTTCGAAAGCTCTATAAATGCATTATATAACATTACATGTATTTCAGACGCTATGAGTCTCGCCCAACAACCAGTCATTATATAACATTACATGTATTTCAGACGCTATGAGTCTCACCCAACAACCAGTCATTATATAACATTACATGTATTTCAGACGCTATGAGTCTCGCCCAACAACCAGTCATTATATAACATTACATGTATTTCAGACGCTATGAGTCTCGCCCAACAACCAATCATTATATAACATTACATGTATTTCAGACGCTATGAGTCTCGCCCAACAACCAATCCGTACTGTAAAGCGGGAGTTCTCCCCTTTTGTCCAACAGGTCGAGAATCAAATACGATGCCAAAATTTAACGCCACAGACAGAGTAGAAGTTTTTGCTCTCAAAGCACCTGTGTGGGAATTCAAATTTGGTAAACTCTTGGCCGACTTCGTAAGTATAATTTTTTTAAAACCCCCTTTAAAGCCAATGATTAGATATTTACATTTTTCGGACTGTATCTAATATTTCACCGTTTAATCAACGATAAAATTAATTTACTAAAATAAAAGAAAAACCCTAAATAACTCGTGGCATGGATGCAATGGGATTTAAAAATTAATGTATTGAAATAAAAAACAAATCTCGTGGCATGGTTTTTAAAAAAGTGAAATGGGGCTTAACGTTCCACTGTTCTGCTCCGACTGGGCTAATGAAGACGGAGATATGCCATACATTGTGTTATGAGGGAATTTTTGCCCGGACAGTGGCGGTAAGGCCTACTCGTATATCGAATTCCAACGTTGACCTAGTCGGAGCAGAACATTTGTCCCACGTTTGGTTCTGAAATCATGACATTCTAGTCAACGGGCCAGTATTTTGAGATCAGCATGCAATACACAGGGCCAGTAGAAGAAATGGGGTTTAACATCCTACTGTTCTGCTCCGACTGGGCTATTGAAGATGGGCATACGCCATACAGTGTGCAATGAGGGAAATTTTGCCCGGGCAGTGGCACTATGGCATACTCTTATATCGACATACAACTGCTATGGAATCTTTTACGTGCACGACAATGTATACACAGGACCTCGGTTTTTCGTACCATTCTAACGACTAGACAGCTGTCCTTGTCAGGCCCTACGTTCTGCAACACTGACAAGGGGAAACCACGTCGGAAAATCCCGATGAACTTTCTCGGCCAATGCAGGGATCGAACACGTGACCTCCAGACTAGCGAGCCAGCGTCTTACCCAATCTGTTTCACAGAGAATTACGAGTCTCGTATAATACCTCTGTCATAGATGACTGCCTTAACACGTGCTGTCACAGCACGCGGTGTGAATCATTGGCTGAATGACGCGTGCATTGTTTACATAAGCCATAACTGCTTCGGAGAGAATGCTGCATTTTAGTCATTTTAATACCCATTTACACTAAATAGGAAATAATTTTTACCTACAAATACGTCAAACGCCTTTATTTATTTTTCCAATATATACAAAAAATGTTTTAGAATTTAATTTGTCGCAGGAAAAAAGTTAATATTTCTAGCTCATTAAGCCGCATCAATGTCATCCTTATCAGTGATTGTCGCGGCCAAGCAAATATTCACTGCGGATCAGTGTGCGTCTTACCCACTTAGCCACCGTGGTCCCCAGGATTAAAAAGAGGTCCGTGAATACATTTTGCCCAATCCAATCCTCCAGACCTCATGCCAAACTTGACGCTCAAATTCCTGTACTCGCCCCTGACAATAATAAAACTCCATCTTATTGATTCCAGAATATAATGCACGATGCCATTGGTTTCAATAATCTCAACACTGGTTTAAACTATACGATGGAATGGTATGAACTATTTCAACTATTTAACTGTACATTCGCCCATTTATTGACCAACAACACATTAAAATGGTGTAACCAAGGAGCATCGTGTATATATGACGGTATTAATGATAAACACTGGTCACAGAATGGCACTTTAGTTAAAGTGGCTGAAATAACAGGTAAGACGCTTTCTGGGGTAAAATATTAAATTTTGACATGAGATGACTTTAATTATACAGTTACATGGTGTATGTTCAAATTATATTTGTGCATAATTTGAGACTATTCTGCACATTTTTAAAGACCCGTAAACTGACGACTTGCCCGGGTGAATTCCTCAGCACGTGATCATTAAACGTGAACCATAACCAAATTGCTCGGAAGACTGGATTTCAATCCCCAAGGCAGATTGCATTGCTAAAGACTCTTGTGATATCTTGACGTGTGCCTTTAATCTGCGATTCATTAGTACAGTCACTGTACTGTTAGTACCGCAGTCGCTGTAATGTTAGTACCATTGAATCAAACTGTCGCTGTAATGTAAGTACCGTTGAATCAAAGTCGCTGTAATGTAAGTACCGTTGAACCCAACAGTCGCTGTAATGTAAGTACCGTTGAATCAAACTGTCGCTGTAATGTCTATGTCATAGGACTTCGAATTTTGTCTAATGGTTTGGATTGTTCGTACTTGGTTTTATTTTATTGAATCAAACAGTCGCTGTAATATTTCTATGATTGAATCACCCAGTGGCCGTATTGTCTGTACTGTTACCTTTACAGTCCTGCTGGATTCGTTAAATATACATTATGCAAGATAAAAAGCTGACCATTCTTGCTATAATAGCTCAAAAATAGATACTGTTAAATGAAAATTTCATTCAAATATTTTCATTCTGAGCCAAGTTATCACTGTTTGTAGTTTTGACAAGATGTGTGCATAGTGGTAAACAGGCACTGATATATTCCCATTTTTAAATTAAATTAAAGGGCAAACCGTTCTAATCTAGTTAAAATCTCGAGTATCCGATGCCACCGAGAGTTGATTATGGTCTTGTTTTGTTAATTAATGTCTAATTAATAATTTAGATAACTTTTCAGGCCTAAAGAAAGACCTGCAATGGGCAGATTTAGATCTTGCATAATGTATGTTTAATCAGCGCGAGTTACATGTTGAGGATAGATTCGATAATATATATTGTAACATGGACGGGAAATCTTCCTTTTCGTTGAATAAGCAGATTGTTTCCCCTCTAGTAGATTGGGTGGAGCTTAGCCGTGCAATACATTGAACAAACAGAAATACGTACAAGAATATAAATAGTTTGTAACTGTTGATAATCAACAATATAATGGTTTATTTTGTATTTGATTAGGTGAAATGTTCAATGATTTTGGAAACTGGTCTGAGTGGGATAATAATACTGGTATTTATTATGAAACTTGGACGGTTGCATCTGAACCGGGAGAAGGTAAAATCATTTCATGGTTTAATCCATATTTCTTTATTACAACCTGCCTACCTGGAAGGTCATCAACAGCAACCTTACTTCTTTATTATAACCTGCCTCCTGGAAGGTCATCAACAGCAACCATACTTCTTCATTACAACCAAATTAAATTTTTGAATTTGAGCCCTTGTCAATGGTGCAGGACGGAGGACCTGATAAGGACAGCTGTCAAGTCGTTCGAATGGGACAAAAACCCGAGGCCCCGTGTATATATTGGTATGCACGTAAAAGATCCCTTGGTAGTTGGAATTCGATATAACGTAGGCCATAGTGCCACTGTTCGGGCAAAATTTTCCTCATAGCACATGGTACAGCGTATGCCCGTCTTCATTAGCCCAGTCGGAGCAGCAGAACAGTAGAACATTAAACCCCATTTCATTTAACTTTTTAAAGTTGAGAATACTGTCATGTTTCTGTCATTGTTTTTTAAGGCGAGCGATCGATCGGTCTCAAGTGTCTGCCGCTCACCTGAATGTTGACCGAGGGGAGCTTTTTTCCTCTCTCCTTAAAATTGAAAATCGCTCTCCATTACAAAGTCATGGGGGTTATATTATCATTTATGAATCCAGGAATGACCCCCTAACATGTAGTTATTGATCTTCAGAACCATTTCCCATGCACACAACTAATCACTCTCCTTAATATCGGATCACTCTCCTTAATTTCTAAAACACTCCTTAATTTCTAAATCACTCTTCTTATCGCAACTGGGAGAGCTTTTTAGGGGAGCGACTTTTTCAATTTGTGGATTAAGGAGAGCTTTTTTTTGGCTCTCCTCTAAAATACAAACAACAATGACTGTTGTTTTGTAGGTGGCTTTCCCTCAACTTAAGTCATGGCAAATAATGGATTGTATTGGAAAAAGGGCTGTATGTCACTGCCCTGATGGGATTTAAAAAAATAATAATTTGAGCATTTTTTTTTAAGCCCTCTGACTCTGAATAGAGAGAGAAATGGGTTTAACATCCACTCGACACAAACTAGGTCATTTCGGCACTAACATATGGTTCAATTTAATTTCAATAATTTGCTTGCGCGTATGGGTCTTTAGCAGTGGGTGGAAATCGGAGGACCCGGAGAAAACCCACGAGGTTGGACAGGCGACCCTACAACCAGGGTTTTGAATCCACGCCAGTTGACTCAATGACACTCCTTATGATACAGTGCGCACATACTAACCATTCGACCATCCAACTCTCCATGCCCTCTGAATAATTTCAACATTATGAAGCCCTGATCCAAATACCCAGTACATAACTGGGGTTTATTCTCTTACGGATGACTTTACGAGATCCAAAACCGAATAGCAATAGTCTCATACAATGACCAAGATCTTTTTTTCTTTCAGCTGGGAAGCTATGGTTTGCACCCAACGATTGTGCCAGTTTCGTTTTGAGAGCCTTTCAAAAGATGGCAGATTTAGGAGCCGAATTTAATCAAAGTGTTCATTTAAACTACACCAAGATATTTTTATACAGTGAGGAACCTATACATCTGGGACCTGCTAGTGTAATATTTGGACCTGGATCAAACCAAACATTAACTAAGGATATACTTTTATTCTATAGCCACTTCCAATCTCACCAAGATGTGGGACATTTACTAGAAAGTCTACTTCAAGTTTATATAGAAGTTGTGGCAGAACACAGATTTTACTTTTTTTATAACTTTGAATATTGGTTACTGCCAATGGTGCCACCTTATGTCAGGTTAACATATGATGAAATTCCACTGCCAACTCCATAAGTGCCAACAACAAGATGATCCTGCTCGAAGTTTTAAAGTTTTGCTAAGATTTATTCACATATGGAAAATATACAGAAACCATACAACAAACAATAATACTATACATATACATGTGTGAGTTGCTCCCACAAAACCAGGCTCTTGGTCATTTTTATAAAAATAGAGCTGGCAGCTTATTAAAATAGTCCACAGCCTAAGCTTTCCAAAAATACAATTCTTTCTTAATTTGTCGTATCATCTGGTGTTCGGCTCATTCACAACAACAAGACGGCATAGAGTTTATGCTTCCGTGCACGTAGTACAAAATGAAGTTGTGCGACAAACACCTGGTTTCGTGGGAGCTGGTCACATATACATCAGAATAACCCTATTGTTATTAAATTGTCAGAATTCAAATTATCAGGGAAAGATGTTTGATTGGTGGTTCCAGACCAAAGGTTTCATTTGACAATAATATGTAATCTTTTTAAAATATAATAAACATCATCATTTGACATTTTCTTTTACCATTAATAATCTTAGTTTTCATATATGTTTTTATTTTTAAAACAAATATAATATATCTTTTATTATTAGGACAATTTCTCTTCCTATTCTCTACATTTCTGAATGTCTTATTAAAAATATTTGTATAAGGAATGATATCAATTCCAATTAGAAATCTTGGAAGAATTAATTCACTTGAAACCAATCTTGATCTAAAATGATGAAATCTGGTTCCCCCCTGCAGTAAAGTTGAAATGAATGAAAAATGTTGAACTATCAAGTTGGAATGTTGACAATATTGTTGGAACAATTCAAAATGGTCACAGTAGGTTATTTTCCTAATACTTTTCATCTCTTGCAACCCTACAGAACTTTCAGCTTTTAGCATGAATGAAGAGAACAGCATTGGAAAGAAATGATTTTGATGAAATTGAAGACGATTTTGTATAATAATAAAAATTTGAGTAAATATAAATAAACAAATATGTACAATAACTTGTATTTGTAACCATGCCAACAGTTGTGACCTGACATTAATGCTGACCAATGAACAAGTTGATGATGATTTAAATGAACCAATCAGATCAATAGAGACTAGTTTTCTTCATTATACGAAGGAATTCTTCTTGGTTGATTTCTCCATCTCCATCACGATCAGCTTCATCAATCATTTCCTGGAATCGAAGTAGAATCTTTGTTACTAATAATATACAGTATGTAGGGTTCATGTACAGTCAGGGGCCATAATCCAGGAAGTTACGGTCCGATACGCACAAGTATCAACTGAAACCCAGATTTTTAGGATGGATATAAATATAATATATATTTTAAGTTTCATCAAAATTGTATAAAAATGAGAGCAATGGGGTTTAATGTCCACTCAACAAAAAGTAGGTCATTTTGGGACTAAAATAAGTTCAATTTTATTTCAAAAATTCCCTTGCACGTAGGGATCTTTAGCAGTGGGAGGAAACCAGAGGACTCAGAGAAAACCCACGAGGTTGGACAGACGACCCTCCTCCTTGTCGAGTACAACTGGTGAATCGAAACCATGCCAGTTGATTCAATGACAGACTTTATGATACAGCAAGCACACGCTAACTATTTGATCATCCAATCCTGCATTGAAACAAATGAAAGGAAGGATTTAAAGTTTTACTCACCTGTAATTCCTCATCAGTAAGATTTTCTCCTAATTCTTTTGCTACTCGTTTAAGATTTTTGAAAGATATTTTACCAGTTTCATCATCATCGAACAATCTAAAGGCCTTTAATATTTCTTCTTTCGCATCTTTTTCACTCATTTTTTGAGTCATGATTGTTAAAAAATCATTAAAATCTATCGTACCTGAAATTTATTTTTACGTTGTTTCAGATTATACATGAACATATTCCCTTCCATTAGTTGTATATGAAAATAAAGTATAGACCATCACGAACGTCTTGTGGATGGAATGGAATTTAACACTTCGTCAATACGATAATTTTGTCTTTTACCAGAACAGCCATTTTTCTGACTATGTTGGGTTCTGAAATCATGACATTCTAGTCAAGGGGCCAGTATTTTGAGATCAGCATGCAATACACAGGGCCAGTGAAAGAAATGAAATGGGGTTTAACATCCTACTGTTCTGCTCCGACTGGGCTAACTAAGACGAGCATACGCCATACAGTGTGCAATGACTATGAGGGAAATTTTGCCCGGGCAGCGGCACTATGGCCAACTCTTATATCGAAATCCAACTGCCAAGGGATCTTTTACATGCACGCCAATGTATACACAGGACCTTGATTTTTTGTACCATCCGACCAACTAGACAATTGTCTGTGTCAGGCCCTCCGTCCTGCACTGCTGACGAGGGGGAAAACACATCGGAAAATCCCAACAAACTTTCTCGGCCAATACAGGGATCGAACATGCTACCTCCAGGCTAGTGAGCCAGGTCTTGCCCATCATCGGAAGAGCCACAGAAGTATGTACAAGTGAAAAGTAGCAATACAATATTCTAAGAACAAAATGTGTTAAAATAATCGTAATTATTTACCATGGCCGTCTTTATCTATCTCAGCAATCATCTTTTTAATCTCTTCTTTCTTCGGCTCAAAACCTAGAGCTCGCATAGCAACCTGAAAACAGATAAAAGCGTATAGAGGGAGAGAGAAAAATGTGGTTTATTTAACGTCCACTCGACACAAACTAGGTCATTTCGGCACTAACATAAATTTGCTTGTGCATAGGGGTCTTTAGTAGTGGGAGGAAACTAGAGAAAGCTCACGAGGTTGGACAGGCAACCCTACATCTTGTCACGTACAACCGGGGGGAATCAAAAGATAAGCGTATATCAGAAATTTATATAGATTGTAATAATGAATGTTGCTCAGTTGTGTTAAATACAATATAACATCCTAATCAACTCTGACACTATCTTATTAACCCCTTAACTGTGTTCTTTTTAAAACGTTAAATACCCCCTATTGTGTAATTAATTTGACGAAAAACGTCATTTTTGGACCTTTGTATTCCTGAATACAAACTATAGTAGTCTTAAACCATATTAAAACTAACGGTAAATAGAGTTGTCTCCCTTCAATTAGATTTCCTCGACCAGGCGTAATATAACGTCCTACACATGCTTTGAAGAATAGGTTGGGGAAAATACCTCCAGGGCGTTATATTACGTCCTACACACAGTGAGTGGCAGTTGTCCAGGACGTTATATAACGCCCTACGCAATTACAATGTTTTGAGAAGGATTTGATAGAATATCATGTTTATTTCAATCAAGGCTTACTTTTAATTCTTTAGCATCGATAGTCCCTGACCCATCTGCATCAAATAAATCAAAGGCTTCTCTAATTTCTTGTTTCTGTTCTTCAGTTAGTTCAGGTTTAGGTCCAGTCTTTTTTCGTCCACCACCAGCTAACGTTGTTTTCTTAAAAGTTGCCTGGAATATTTAATAATAGAAGTCGATGTTATCTTAATTTTATGTGATTACTGTAGCTATAACATGTCTGTTAAAGACAGTATATGGGCAAACTGCTTTGATCACAATGGAATTTTCTCGCGCTGCAATGGGCACAACCAAAGTGTACAAGATTACGAAGGTGTTTATCAAAATATTTGTTCATCTCCGACATGACATCTTTCTCAAAAATTTGATTAAAAAAAAAAAAAAAATTCGTTCTTGCATGGCTTAAAGTAGCCAAGTCTCTAATTCAATATCATCCAAAGTCATTGACATGGATAACACGAATTATTTGTCAGTTTAAATGAACATTGATGTTGTGATCTTACCAGGAAAAGTTGGGCTTCTGATATCCAATATTTAGGACAAAATAAACATTTTACCATTGGTACATGAATCTATAACATAACGCGTTTCAGCGCCATTTGTAACAAGGGACTCGAAGAGAGAGGCTAAACATGTTCCCCATGTCATATCAAACAGTGACGCCACATTCTTATCCGAACAGCATGCACAATAAATAATTTTGGTGTAGACTGGAATAACCAGACTTTTACCAGATGCTAAAGGTTTCTGCTTTTCAATGTATTTGAATCCAATCTGTTGTTCAACATATACTATTCAAAAAAAGTAGGGGATATTTGATTTTGGGGGCATAATACTAAAATATGCAAATGACTACGAAAAAAGTCACTATAGAACCTAACAGAAGAAACATTTCCAGTTACATGTGACGCCCAAACGCACCAATAGCTACCGCATGGAATGCAGGTGATGCTTGGGATCATCATGGGGGTCCAACCCAAGATTTGCACGACTCTGACTTTGAATGTTACAGTCATTGTGGCATTGAATTCCAGGGTGGAAACATCAGTTTAATTGTTTTAGTGACCAGAAAACAAATTTTGATATGCGTCGGCTTACCCAAAATGAAAGGTTACGTGCCCTTGGCATGCTACAGATCGGCACAACACAGGCGGTTGTGACGCGGACGATGAATGTTTCTCAGTCTGTCATAAGCAGGCTATGGTCCAGATACCGTGATACACAATCTGTACAGGACAGACCACGCTCAGGTCGACCAAGGGCGACAACTCAAGCCCAGGATCGATTTATCCGTACATTGGCCTTGAGAAATCGTGCCATTACAGCAAATCAGATCAGCGCTCGTCTTCAAACAGACACTGGTGTGAGAGTGAGTGGCCAGACGATTCGGAATCGACTGCATAGGGGTCACCTTCGCGCCCGACATCCTCGCGTGATCCCTTGTTTGAGAGATCATCACATTCAGGCAAGACGTCGTTGGTGTAGGGATCGTCAACACTGGGATAATCGACGCTGGAGCAATGTGATGTTTTCAGATGAGTCAAGGTTCACTGTTGATTTTTTGGACAGACGTAGGAGGGTGTGGCGTCGTCGAAACGAGCGCTTCCAAGACGTTAAAGTCATCAGACATGATCGATTTGGGGGTGGTTCTGTTATGGTGTGGGGAGGCATCACTGTTGCTGGAAGAACGGCTTTACATGTTGTTGCAGGGCGTGTTACAGGCCAGTACTACAGGGACAACATCTTGGCAGTCCATGTTGTGCCGTTCGCACGACGTCATGGCCGCCGTTTCATCTTCCAGGATGACAACGCAAGATGTCACAGGGCCAGGATCGTTACAGGTTACCTCCAACAACAGAACATCACCACATTACCATGGCCAGCACTGAGTCCCGACCTCTCCCCCATCGAGCATGTCTGGGACATGCTTGGACAGAGGTTAAGTCAACGTCAACAACGTCCTGCCAATGTCCAAGAACTTGCGGCTGCGTTGCAACAGGAATGGGACAATCTGGACCAAAATGACCATAGACGTCTCATTAGGAATATGCCACGTCGGATCAATGCTTGTTTGGCAAACAGAGGAGGATTTACCCGTTACTGACTTGGTTGTGATGCTGTGGTAACTTTGCTGTTTGACCCCGGGTATCATTTTACCCTTATAATGGTCAGTCTGTGCCTTACTTAGTCTAACGATCATTTGGAATAAATCGATGAATGTGAACTTCATTTCATTTTGTCATTTGTTTCTTCGTCAGTTTCATTAGGTGACTTTAATAACACTTAAAAATCAAATATCCCCTACTTTTTTTGAATAGTATATATTGATGATTAAACGAGGAAATGGATAATCAAGACTTTGTTAATTATCGTGACAGCAGTAACAATGACAATTGAGGCTACAGAGATTTTGAAATAAGGTTGCTAAAACATAACTGATTTGAAATTAGAGTAAAACAGAAACAATTGAATGTAAATCCGTTTATTACCCATTTGTTTAAATTTCTAGGTCCAAATATTAGCGATTTAGCTCCTTTAAATATTGTGTCAATATTGATGTGGCTTAATTGATCAATAGAAATGAAACTGGGTTTGACGTCCTAGACTCTTGTTAAGCACCGACTGGGCTAATGAATACGGGCATGTCTATAGAGAAATAACATTAGAATAGATGATAATACCAAAAAAAAATGTTTTACATGAAAAATGACATGAGAAAGAATATGGAATGGAGACAATGGTACAAGTTATCATATATGTTTAATTTTTTTTTTATTTCTATTTTCATATTACCGTACATAATAAATTAAAAGATGAGGCTAATTCCTATTCAATAGTTTTGTCATGGATCTTATAATATCGTCCGACCCGTGGTTCAGTCAGACTCAGTATCGTCCGACCCGTGGTTCAGTCAGACTCAGTATCGTCCGACCCGTGGTTCAGTCAGACTCAGTAATATTAACTTACATAATACATGTTATTATATGAATTCAAGTCACTCACAACTGCAGTCATACTTAGATAACTAAACTAATAATTAGAACAACTCATTGACAGTCTTGATTCATATGAATTCTTTCCAAATGTATTGGAAACATTTGCTACAATGTACCTACTTCTGCTTTAAAGATACATTTTGGGAGATTAGAGAAAGAGCTGGAAGTTTTCACTATAATAGTTTAAACCTAGATAATGTATAGGGATCTGCTGAAAACTCCAGTCAAATTGCTTCACTCCAAGCTGATAGTGATAGTGAGAAAATCTTATTTCAAAATCTCTGTAGCCTCAATTGTCATTGCTGTCACGATAGTTAACAAAGTCTTGATTATCCAATTTCGTGTTTAATCATCAACAGATGTTGAACAGCAGATTGGATTCAAATACAATGAAAATCGAATAGATACGATGGCATCGAGAGTTAATTATGTTTTTTTCATAATAAATGTCTAATTAATAATTTAGATAACATTTCAGACCTAAAGAAAGACCTGCAATAGGCAGATTTACCCCTTGCATAATGTAAGTTTAATTAGTAATTTGACTAAATTAAATGATTCATTATTCTAGTAGATGTACATGATTAAGGACTTAGGTAATTTTCAAGCACAGACATGTTAGGTCTACCCTAGTCAACAAAGAATCCTATGTCAAATTGTAAACATTGGACATTGGTAAACTACCAAATAGCCTATATACCATGGTCTAAAAATCTGTCCCCTATTTATATCAAACAAGATCGTGAGAAATTTACAATGTTCTATTTTGAAATCAAATAGCACAGATAACCGTAGATTAAAGCCTCCTAAAAAACACCACAATAAATCTGAAATTTCACTAATTTTTAAGTTGAATATTAATCACATAGCAACAGATTTTATGATTTACAGAAAGAATTTGTGAGTTTTGAAAGAGGGTCAGTTAAACATCGATTATTTAAAAGAAAATATATGCTAAAAAAATAATTTGCAAAAGGCATTTTTAATTTTTAATCCCGTTTTACACTTACCATGATGATTGCTGTTTGTTGATCTTCGAGACGAACTGAGCGGTTTCAATGTTGCCCGGATGATGACTGATATGGGCTAATTTGCGGATCGGATATAGAATCGAAACAGGACATGTCCAAACAACTCCAAGAATTATCCGATTAATCATAAACCCTCTAGCTCAAGAGCCTAATACACTATAACTTTAAAGACATACAGTGGTAGACATCAAAATTCATAACAGACTATTTGCCACCAAGAGTTCCAATAGAATAATGTTAATATTGGCTCTATAGGGTTAAAACAACTAAGCGGTCGGTATATTATAGGCCTATCTATTATAATATATTCCAGTTAAACAAAAGAGTTTAAATTGGTCGGTCTACACCATCGGTAATGAATTCCTCAAGAAGAGGAAATGTTTTGTCATACGTTTTATGATATTTTGTTTAGACTTCATATATCAAAGAAGATATTTTATTGATGTTTGTAGGCTGTAGCGACGTAGTTATTGGCTTCCGCATAGCGGTGTAGTAATTAATTTCTTCGTCGATAGAAATTTAATTTTATGAAAGCCCGTCATCGACAATAATAAATATAATACTATTAGTTCTATTCTAAGTCTTACGTTGAACAGAGAGCGAGAGCGTAATGAGGGGTGGAGGGGGGGGGATACTTTTCTAAATAGCTACCGCCCAAGTTATACATTCACATAGTTTTCCGTCTAAGGCCCGTTTTCCACGCACGTGTTTCCACGGCGTTTCCGCGCGCGTTTTCTCCGGCGAAACAGTCGGTCGAGTACGTGCAATTGTAATGGGGCCGTTTCCATGTACCCGGCGAAAATGCGCGCAGAAACGCCGCCAAAACGCGTTCATTGTAAACATGCTGATTTATTAACTTTATCCTCTAAAGCGTCCACAAAATTTCTCAAAGTGATCAAGGGTCATAACTATGGCAGTGATTATCGGAAATCGTTGAAAATCAATAGGATTCTTCGTCTCATGACCTTAAACACTGTGTATAAATTCAAGCCAATCGGATATTAACTTTAGCCTCTATAGAGCGTCCACATAGCCAAATTAAATAGTAAGTAGTAAGAAGCATATAAAGATGAAAAACCTGAAAAACATGTGCAAACACAAACTCGTGAGGTCAATCGATGCAAGTTTGCTTAAACTGAACACGCACACGTGACTTGAACTGGAAAAACAAATTAAAATTGTTATTTTCATCTTTGTTAGAAAATGCCTATGCTGGTCAGTCTGTGGCCACTGTTGCAAGAGCCTTTAATTGTTCACGCCAGACAATAATTAATCTTAGAATGAGAGTGCTTCAAACTGGAACTATTGCCGACTGCCCAAGGGCGGGAGCGCCACGTGTGACGTCACTCCAGGAAGATCAAGCAATACGATTACGTCATCTTAGAAACAGATTTGTCACTGCAACCTCCACAAGTAGAGAGATGTTTGGTGGAAGAGTAAATGCACGAACTGTTCGAAATCGCTTGCAGGCTGCTGGTCTTCGAGCTCGGAGGCCCTATAATGGACCAATATTGACACCCCTTCATCGTCGTAATCGACTTGTGTGGGCCACAAGACACATAAGATTTACTCAAAGACAGTGGCATTCGGTTGTCTTTAGTGACGAATCGCGATTCACTTTGAGATTTGCAGATGGCAGTGCCCGAGTGTACCGCAGACGAGGTGAACGTTACGCTCAAGTATGCGTCAGAGAAGTTGACCGATTTGGTGGCGGCAGCGTCATGGTTTGGGGTTCTTTTTGTGCACATGGACGTTCTCCTCTTGTTGTTGTCCAAGGGAACTTAAATGCTGTCCAGTACAGGGATCAGATTTTGCAACCTGTTCTTCTTCCGTTTATGCAGAGACATGGGCCTGGACTAACGTTTCAACAAGACAATGCTCGACCCCATACAGCAATTGCTACCCAGAATTTTTTAAGAAATGCCGGTGTCCAAGTCCTGGATTGGCCGTCGCTTAGCCCCGACCTTAATCCTATTGAACACATCTGGGACAAACTGGGTCGACGTGTTCGTCAGTAAGTGAATCCACCACGTGACGTTGCAAGACCTCCAACATGCTCTTGCTGAGCAGTGGCGACGTCTTCCTCGGGTAGTGTTTACTAATGTTCTGAGTTCCTACAGAAGACGTTGTGTGGCAGTACGAGACGCTAGAGGAGGCCACAACCGTTACTAAACACTTTATTCCGATTGTTCTCCAAGTCTGTGAATTTCATTTTGGGGGGTACTGTGACATCACGAACGTTATCAATGTCAAGGACTTTCGGCGAGACGTATTCTTGCTTTCTGTTGATGTCAAAGTCGTCTGTGCACAACATAACACTAAAATAGTTGCCTTAAACCAAATATTAAAAATCTAGTCCCAAAAATCCCGAGTGTCAAGTTTTTAATTTGGCTGAGTATACAATAAAATTGTGGATGTCAGACTGACGGGGCGACGACAATATACGACCACATTTCAATGTGGGCGTGTACAAACTCCGTCCGTAATAAACGAATGGAATACTTTACCTGAATATATAAAAGCATCTCCTACTATAAAATTAACCAACGATGATATTTTATTACCTAAATATTTTTCATCTTAAATAATCCCCACTAAGCTACGTCACAATAAAAGCAACTTAACTACCATAAATTCGCCAGGCACTTAACGGACAACCCGACCTGTTCTTGTGGTCACGGAACACTATTTGTTACACTGTTCAAATTTTACTAATGTTAGATTTCAAATAACAAATGAATTACCAAATATATTTTTTTATTACCTTACAAACTCTAATCAACGGTGATAGTAATAATACATTGCAAATAAACACGCACATTTTTAATACAGTCCATAAATTTATACATTTATCTAAAAGACTCGAATAACCTTTGTAAAAAAACGAGTTGAATTAATTTCTTTCTCTGTTCCTATGCATCTGGTGTCTTCAAAATATTATATGAAGCAAGCATATACTGATATGGCAATGGGTTAGAAGTGACACAAACTATTATATTTACCTACATGCACGATTAATAGTAAATATAAAATATCATACTGCTAAACCTATTTTGCATATGAAGTGTACATATTTTGTAGTATATTTAATAAAAAGGAGACGAATTAATATAATCCTTTGGCTTGTTTTTGAAGAATCCTTACTTTTTGACAATGTATGTAACATGAATCTTATTTGAATAAATATTGTTTAAATCAAACAGGCTTATTAAATTGTATATCCATGGACCCTATATAGAAAGAATGACCATAGTAAATCATGCAATATTTAAAAAAAAAAATGATTTACTTTCACTTTAGATATAAACCAGAAATGAAATGAAATGGGGTTTAACGTCCTACTGTTCTGCTCCTATACTGGGCTAATGAAGACGGGCATACGCCATACAGTGTGCTATGAGGGAAATTTTGACCGGGAAGCGGCACTATCGCCTACTCTTATATCGAATTCCAACTGCTAGGGGATCTTTTACGTGTATTCCAATATATACACGGGACCTCGGTTTTTCGTCTCATCCGAAGGTCTAGAGGGCTGTCCTTGTCAGGCCCCCCGTTCTGCATCACTGACAAGGGGGAACCACGCCGGAAAATCTGGATGAACTTTCTTGGCCAATGAAGGGATCGAACACCCGACCTCCAGGCTAGCGAGCCAGCGTCTTACCCACTTAGCCACGTGATCCCCCAGATATAAAACAAGATTTCTTGGATACCATGATTAATGAGTTATTGTGTGACTTTAATTTAGTAACTATTGTATTGTTAATGTTATATACATATAATGATGTGAAAAGGTTGACCAAAAGTCCATTTTCGTAAATGAATAAAAATCAATATTAAAGCAGCTAAATCGCTAATATTCGAGACCTATAAATTGGCACAAATGGTTTGCAACGCATATAATAATATAATATGAATGTGTATAAACTGATTTACATTCAATGGTTTCAATTTTTACTGTAATTTCTAATCAGTTATGTTCAGCGAAATACGCCAGAAGTCTCAATCGAATGGGAATCTCTAGTGTCCAGTTTTGCCAATCTACACCGATAGTATTTTATTGTGCATGCTCTCCAGATAAGAATATGAGGTCACCGTTTGACATGACTTGTGGAATATGTCTAGCCTCGTTTTTCAAGTCCCTTGTTACAAATGCCGCTGAAGCGCATTATGGTACACGATTCGTGTATCAATGGTAAAATGTTTATTTTGTCTTAAATATTGGATATCAGAAGCCCATCTTTTCCCGGTAAGATCACAACATCAATGTTGATTTAAATTGACAAAAAAATTCTTGTTTTCAATATCGAAGACTTCTGATGATATTGAGTTAGAGACCTGGCTACTTTAACTTCTAAAAAGCCCCTGTTTTCGATTCTATTTTGCAAACACGTTTTCCAAATAAAAAGAAATATTGTTTCAGTAGACAATCTCGACAACCTTAGCTCAGATTTTTAAAACAATGACACAAAGTTCGCTATTAATGTATTATGACCAGTAAATCATGTGTGTCGACATATATCTATATAAAAACTTTGGGAAACAAATAAAAAGCAACCCACAAATTCAGAGGTGTATCCTAATCCATAACCTTTCCGTTGTTCTGGCAAAGACTGATTACTCGCACCTGATCACTTTTACGAGCGCTGATTGGATAACCCAATCAGCTGATGGTCAAAATGGCGAAGTCCGGTGTAAGAGAATGTTATAATGTATATCCAATTATAGTGATGAAACTAGTTGTGTACATCTGTATTTTTTTCAGTATTCATGAAATATAAGTGAAAATATTTTCTTTTTCACGGCTGTCAAAATTAATCATTGATCAATAATGTGTTATTTTAATGAGACTGTTCTCATGCTCATGATACCATCATTGTTATTTGTTTCCGCTTTTTTATTTTGTAGCAGACGACGCATTGCAACTGCGAGTAATTTGAATTAAGACAAGCCAAATTAACATATCTCATTGTTCACAGTTAATTAATTATACGAGATTAGTGAGTCATAATGACATTCTGGATCATAACCATTATAATGACACTGATATCAAATATTTAATTAAAATTGTCTGGCTGCTTGCCGTGGGAGTCACGGTGGCTCAGTGGAAAGACGCTGGCTCACTAGCCTGGAGATCGCGTGTTCAAACCATGCATTGGCCAAGAAAGTTAATCGGGATTTTCTAACGTAGTTTCCCTTTGTCAGTGGTGCAGGATGGAGGACCTGTGTTGGTGTGCACGTAAAAGATCCCTTGGCAGTTGGAATTCGATATAGTTTTGGCAAAATTTCCCTCATAGCACACTGTATGGGGTATGCCCGTCTTCATTAGCCCAGTCGGAGCAGAACAGTAGGACGTTAAACCCTATTTCATTTCATTTCTGCTTGTTAGTAAGTAAGTCTATAGACTATAGACATTGGCAATAATAGATACAGGATGCAGCCCCTGAGTCTGTAGTGAAGTGAAACCTCTATGATTTTGGTTGATCGATACATTTGTATTTTTGTTTTTGAAAGAAGTCGCTTAGGAAAGCTGTTTGTTTGCATAAAGAATTTTTTTTCGGCTTGAACTGTTGACCACAAACCAGTTAAAGTTCAGACCAGACAACAACATCACAAAACAAAATTGATTAATTTAATTTTAAATTGACACTTATATTTTTTTCTTTAATTGACACAGATCAAATAGTAAGTGCAGGATAACAGCACCACAAACAAACAAAACTCATTTAAAACAAACCTACTGACAAGACAAACCCACTGACAAGACACACAAACATACTGACAAAACACACAAGCCTACTGACAAGACACATAAACCCACTGACAAGACACACAAGCATACTGACAAGGCACATAAACCTACTGACAAGACACACAAACATACTGACAAAATACACAAGCCTACTGAAAAGAAGCACAAACCTACTGGCAAGACACACAAACCTACTGACAAGTCAGTACAAACCTACTGACAAGGACAAGGCACACAAACCTACTGACAAGACACACCTACTGACAAGACACACCTACTGACAAGACACATAAACATACTGACAAGACACACAAGCCTACTGACAAGAAACACAAACCTACTGACAAGGCACACAAACATACTGACAAGACAGTACAAACCTACTGACAAGGACAAGACACACAAACCTACTGACAAGACACACATACCTACTGACAAGACACATACACCTACTGACAAGACAAGACACACAAGCCTACTGACAAGACACACAAGCCTACTGACAAGTCACACAAACCTACTGACAAGATACACAAATGTACTGACAAAACAAAGATGTTGAATAATTGTATCGTTTAGAGTATTTAGTTAGATCGTTGTTGTTTATTTCAGAAACAAGAAACATGTCTTGTTATTGGTGGTGGTGGATTTTTGGGACGTCATTTGTCAGAGAAATTGATAGCCAGGGGATATAAAGTTCAGGTTTTTGATGTCAGAAAGACGTTTGAAGATGACAACATTAACATTTTTGTTGGAGACCTTTGTAAAAAAGAGGTTAGATTTCTTGAAATGTCATTTAAGAAATCGAGAAAACCCCAATTAAGGTGATGTAAATTGGGGACCCTTCCGGATTAAATCCTATGAAATTGTATAGCCATTCGTTACAAAAGTTCTTAAGTGTGAATCCATTTCGATATAATATGGTTAAAATATTATCCAATGTGACAAATCATTTATGTCTCAGTCGGGATCAGTCATGAAAAGCCCAATTATTTGTATCGTAACATTTCCACATGCATATCAGCCTTCTAAATGATTTGATTGGCCTTTTTGGAGGGTGCACGGCATGGACTATTTCCGAATAGGGTAATAAATGCCATTTCTCCTGGGAGGGCTTACTAAATCGAACAATGGTGGGATCATAACTTGTAAAATAATGAACTCTGCAAGTCCTGAAATAACCTTTCATTTTATTTTTAATGATGATCAAAGCTACATGTTAAACTCTAAATGATCAATTTTCAGGATTTATTACCAGCTTTAGAAGGTGTTGATATTGTGTTCCATTGTGCCACCCCATCACCACTAAGTAATAACAAAGCTCTTTTCTACAAGGTGAACTTTGAAGGCACCAAAACAATTGTTGCAGCATGTAAAGAAGTTGGAATAAAGGTATGCATGTATTAAACTAGTTGCCCCGAGATAGTGTTGGATCAAAATACTGATATCATCTGACAAATTAGGTCTCCTTATTAGGTCTACTAATAATAAGAATTTGTTTGTTTCCTGTATCTCACACCAAGGCAAACAGATTTTTTTATGAAAGCATGATGGGGGGGTTGGGTGGCTGAATAGTTAGTGCGTGCAAGCTGTATCATAAGGGCTATGATTGAGTCAACTGGCGTGGTTTCGATTCCCCGGTTGAACGTGACAAGAAGTAGGGTCGCTGTCCAATCTCATGGGTTTTCTCTGGGTCCTCCGGTTTTCTCTCACTGCTAAAAACCCCTACGTGCATGCGAATTACTGAAAATAAAATTGAACCATATGTTATTCCCAAAATGACCTACTGTAGTTTGTGTCGAGTGGATGTTAAACCCCATTTCTCTCTCTCTCTCACTCTCGAAAAGCATTACCTCAGTAACAATAATCAAGATAACTCTAAGCAAAACTCTGCGTTGTGAATAGCTTGCTAACTTGACAATAACTATCTAAATATTATTCTTGGTTAGTACAATCACATCAATAGTTACTGATATTAGTTATCTCCCTTTACTCAGAAATTCATGAAACGAAATGAAATGGGGTTTAACGTCCTACTGTTCTGTTCCTATACTGGGCTAATGAAGACAGGCATACGCCATACAGTGTGATATGAGGGAAATTTTGCCCTGGTAGCGGCACTATCGTCTACTCTTATATCGAATTCCAACGCCAAGGGATCTTTTACGTGCATTCTAATATATACACTGGACCTCAGTTTTTCGTCTCATCCGAAGGACTAGACAGCTGTCCCTTCTCAGGCCCTCCGTTCTGCACCACTGACAAGGGGAAACCATGTCGGAAAATCCAGATGAACTTTCTCGGCCAATGCAGGGATCGAACACCCGACCTCCAGGCTAGCGTGCCAGCGTCTTAACCACCCAGCCACCGTGGCTCCCAATTCATGATATTGGATGATATTGAGACCATCGAAAGTATAAAAAAACGAAGAGAAATAATAGATCTGTATTTTAATCAGATTGCAGTTTTATATACAATTATTCGTTTGTCCTTTGAGCAGATTTAGTTTTAGTTTTAATAGAAAGGCTTTGACTATGTATTTATATTCTTTGTTTTTAAAATGATATAATATTTGGTGGTTTCAGAGGTTTGTGTTAACTAGTAGTGCTAGTGTTGTTTGTAGTTTTAATAGAAAGGCTTTACCTATGTATTTTTATTCTTATATTTCTTTGTTTCTACGATGATATAATATTTGGTGGTTTCAGAGGTTTGTGTTAACTAGCAGTGCTAGCGTTGTTTATGAAGGTAAAGATATATTAAATGGTAAAGAAGATCTTCCGTACGCTAAACAACCAATAGATTATTACACGGAGACGAAAATACTACAAGAAAAGGTTAGTCTACAAATCATAGTTGGTGGGGGGTGATTTTTAGCCTTCTCTGTTAAGCGAATAATGTAAATAAAATTAAACCATGTTAGTCCCGAAATGACCTAGTTTGTGTCGAGTGGACGTTAAACCCCATTTCTCTCTCTCTCTCTCTCCTTTTAATCCACATATATGTTAAAAAATAAGTTACAGAAAAGCAATACTAATTAACAAATATTCCTTACTTATTGAAGACAAATGCCCCTTTTCCATTACATCTCTAAAGGTTTCAGGGACATAGCCCAAACAAAGTTACATCTCGATCCACATCCTGGCATCTTACACATAAATTGCAAACTGAGCATAATTGCACTCTTTTTGTAATAGTCACTGCCATAAAGAAAAATCTTTGATCCACATTAGAACATTTAATAATATTTCACAAAATATTGTTATTTTTATTTTCAATGAATGAACAAGGTGAATATATTGAAAATGCCATACAACAGATTTATTCATGGATTATTATTTAGAGAAGATATTATATTTTATTATTTAAGTAAATATACGTGAAGTTAGTACCTGTATCTGTACACACTTGAATTGCTTATAGAGACCCTAGTCTTAATTAAATGTTAAATAATAAAATTGAGTATATTAACGATACATTAGTTAAGAGTTTAATAAAGAGTTGGTTAATCTTGCTATAATAATTCAAAAATAGATGATAAAAAAAGAAAATATTGAAAATTTTACTCAAATCACTTTATTCTTAACGGAGTTGTCACTTTTGGAAGTTTGGACTAGAAATATGCATCAACTGTTCCCGCACCGTCTATGAGAATTGCCGATCATTTGATTGACAGACGATAACTCCACCCACATATTCTCGATTATCAAGTAACATTCTCAGTGGCTATGATACCCTTGGTTGACAGGCCTTTCATCGACAGACTCCGGTAGTGACGTCAGTGACTAACGGTAAACTTTAGCTTGATCGGCCATTTATTGATTTAATTTTAAATGGACGACTGTTTAAATCCAAGCTGTATCCAAGCCACCCGAGGGTCTACAGGGTTGATTTTGAACTTGTCACGTAAATAAAGGTCTAAGGTCTAATTGTATCTTTAATAATGGATAATCAAATATTGATCCGAAACTGGCGATTAGCGGATTTAAAACTACGAGTTATGGTTGCTAGTGTTGGAATAAGCTACAACCGACGACAGCACTAGGATTTTAATTTTTATTCAAAAATTTTATTACATCAAAGCACCATTCCAGATACTGAACAACTTCAGATAGTCCAGAAATTAATTTGGCCTGTATACTTATGGAATAGCTACAGGACCTTCAGGAGTAGCAACTTATCAGAAAAAATGTAATTTACAGATCTATGGTCACCGTCATAGAAATGATTTACAGATAAATTGTGACACCCAACCTCGCCTGGCCACCCCATCCCAGTGACATGCTCTTCAATCTGATTAAAACACACATCCTATTTCGTTTTACATTTTATAGTTTTACTTGTCTTTACTACACTAGGATCTAGAAGAGTTGTTATATAACCTGAGTTCTAGTTGATAAGAGGATTTAGTCAATGGAACGGCCTGTTACGGCGACTTCTTGGCATGCTCTGCACGGTATTGTGGGTATACACCGAGAATGTCTGATGTCATAGGGTCAAAAGCCGCTCGTATGACCCCCTGATGTGACCTCCCAGTACAACTGGTCAGATCTTCATGTAGTAGAGGCCATCGAAAGTATAAAAAAGCCAAACGAAATATACATGTAGATCTGTATTTTAATGGGATTCATGATACTTGGAACAATTTCTTGAGGTTCTAAAATTAATAGATTCGCTAAAACATTTGATTTTCCACTGGGAATTTGATCGAGAACCGCGTGCCGTATCATGGTTACAAGAAGTCAAAACATAAACAGATAAATCCGCTGTTGATAACTTCGGCAAATGACTCCACGATTACAGCGAGGCGGTAACAAACATTTCCATAATTTACGACCCGAGGAACAACCCCTTTTAATTTAGAAATAAATGGGGGCGTATGAAAACTGCCAACCCACTGTTCAGATATCGTAAAGACGTCGTCAAATCGGTAACAAACATTTCCATAATTTACGACCCGAAGAACAATCCCTTTTGATTTAGAAATAAATGGGGGCGTATGAAAACTGCCAGCCCACTGTTCAGATATCATAAAGACGTTGTCTTAATATAATACTAAAGTATATCTCAATAAAACCGAAGTTGATATATTTTACATGTGCCCGAATATTTATTATCATAAAGTGACAAGGAGATTAAAGAAAATGGGTACAGGTTTTTGATTTAAACAAGGAATGTACTTAAGCTGACGTTAAATGGTTAAATTTATTTTATTTTAATCCCATTTCAACACTGGGGGATGTATACCTTGTTATAATACCCAGACTATGGCACACGAACATAGTTTTTAATGAGACGTAGTTAACAATACTATCTATATTTACTTAATAAATGACTTGTCAATTTTTACTTTATTGTCAATACATTTTCAATTATTCTAAGAGATAACAAACCAGAAAATCTAAACAGTCAGAAAGTCTAATGAAATAGATTTTAATTGGTTTTTTATAGTAAACTGTTATTTTTTCCTCTGAGCGTCACCAGATCATGTTAAGATAAAAGGCTCGTTATAATTCTTCGGTATCTATTATTATACAATTTACACATGCCTACGAAATGATAACTTGTTGAAGGCATGCGGTAGGGATTGGTCGTAATCGAAAGTAGTTCGAAACTTCATTAATGGGATTGGTGTCGAATTATTCATACCGCTTCAGTTTTTATACGTCCACATTTAATTGTGACGTACACTGTCAGGTGGTCCACCTGACTTGTTCTTGTAAGCACTGGGCAAGCCTCTGGCAGGATTTGATGTAGCTTGCGTAAGCAAAACATTCGGATGGCGGCCATAAGGTTGGGCCCGAATATTAGAAATGAACTCGAATTGCAGTTAGAATATCCAGGAATATACTCGTTCCGCATCGAGTGTGATTAAGGTTTTAGCAGGATTGTTCATTGGGGAATATGAAGGAATCCTATTGAAATTCAGTAAAGTTTGGAGCCATCTTTTCATTCACCTTTTAACCTTCGAATCTTGTGAATCCGATTCATGATAATTAAAGTTCCCGGATAATTAATAACTTGGTGGAATTGTTGTTTGGGGCATAAAGTCTAACACTGTCGAAATTCCAAATTTTCTGCTCAGAAATCGCAAAATTACTTTCCGAGTAGAAAAAATTTCTCTGTGCCTTTTCTTAATGCCTGGGAGGATTGTTGAGTATATTTACATTGTAAATTACGTTGTTCTTTCTTCAGTGATTACCTTTTGACTCGCATTCTGATTAAAATAAAGATCTATATTTCGTTTCCTTTTCTTATACTTTCGATGGCCTACACTACATGAAGATCTGACTGGTTATAGTGGAAGGTCGCGTCAGATGTCATACGAACAGCTTTTGACCTATGACGTCAGACATTTGATTAACCAATCAGCGTTGATGTTTCTAGTTGGTTACCCACAGTTCCGTGCACGTATCACGTCCAAAACTCGCCGTAACAGACTGTTTCATTGGCTAATCTCTCACATCACCCAGAACGTGGGTTATATAACAACTCTTCCAAATCCCAGTGCAGTGAAGACAAGTAAAACAAAATTTTGAACAATAAAAAAGTGAAACAAAATAGGATCATTGCATCACATACATTATGCAAGAGCTAAATCTGATTATTGCAAGTCTTTATTTAGGCTTCAGATGTCATAGAAATTATAAGTTAGATCTATATTTACACAACAAGAACAAAATCAACTCTGTAGACCCACGGATGGCTTGGATTCGGCTTGGATTTAAACAGGATTTCGTTGATTGATTAAATTTTTAAATGGCGTCGCAAGCGGAGATTAACTGTTACGTTGACGTCATACTCCCGGAAATAATTTTAGATCGAGGCTAAATGATAGATTGTATGAAGCGAGACCGCTGTTGAGCGAGCCTAGGCAGCATGTCAGTCAATTTGATTGAAAGTTCGATATGTATACGGCCTTGATATTATGTTTAGTTGTTGTTAAAATGAGTGTTTGGATGTCGGTATTATAGGCTACGCTCTTTTGTCACTTGCGTTTACAGAAAAATTATAGAAATTGATAAACATCGCAGCTAACATCACCCCAGTTGAATTGCAGCTCCATTGGATCACTGTTCGGGAGTTACACAGGCCTACCAGTTACAGTACAAGAGTACACGCAGGCTAACAAGAAGTCGGCTATAATTATGCCTCATTGATTTGGTCCATTCTTATCTATTATATATTAAAAGTCTTATTTTTAATTTGTAGTAAAAATAAATGTGAAACGAATTGAATTGCAACCTCGTCTCAAACCACAGCCACTGAAAACGTTACTTGATAATTGAGATTATGTAGGTGGAGTTAACGCCTGTAAATGAAACGATTGTATATTCTCGGAGACGGTGAAGAGAGAAATTGACTCCCATTCTAGTCAAAAATTACAATAGTGATAACTTTGTTCAGAATAAAGTAATTTGACTGAAATTTTCAATATATTCCTCTTTCATCATCTATTTTTGATGAACTGTTATAGCAAGAATGGCCAACTCTCTATTAAAATCTCCCATAATGTATCTTTAAGTCTACGAGAATGAAAAAAATAAACACTTTTTGTACTAAAATTATCCCAAGTCAAGTTGTCAACGGTGAATAATATGTTTGTCTTATATAATGGGCACTATACAAAACTTTAAACTTGTACCTACTTATATTCCTCTCACAAGCCACAGTAAGAGTTAAAATTAGCCTTAAAGATTGCGTTGGGAAATATAAATTTACCTAATTATATTCCTCTCACAAGCCACGGTAGATGAAAGTAAAAGTTAAAAAGTAAGCCTAAAAGATTTGGTTTGGAAATAAATTTACCTAATTGTCATGTGGTAAATGGATTATC